AGAAAAAATGTCCTAATCACACAATTGAAACCAATCGACATGCCTGAGAAGAGAATTAAGGACAGAGAAGAATTCTAGCATTTTGGATGATCATTGGATTATATTTAACTGTAAAATGGACCACAACAACTACGAGCACGAAGGAGTGCGTAAATATTGGACAAATGTCCCTGGTCAAAATGCTATGGTCATATGGCTAGAGAGGGTTTACTGTCATTTGATATGGCCAAAACGTGCCTCATCGAAATAAAAATTTTACACCCTATGTGTCTTTGGACCAAATCTGTTTCAGGACATTTGGAGTGACAGGCCAGGTGCAAAAATTAAAAATAACGGCTTATTCCCAAAACTACCTCCCCCACAAAGGTTCAACATTTTTTATAATTAAAACTCTTATAAAATGTGATGTAAGCGTCCAATTGTCTTCAAATTTCAATATCACATCTGGTGTTAAGATGGAGTATATCGGCCCACTCCTTCTGGTACCTCCCCCCCACAAAAAGTCAACATTTTCAAAAAATATATATATTTAAAAAAAATATAAAAAATCATAATTTTTGCGTCAGTTCTAGGTCAGGTGTAAAAATTCATATTTTTGAGAAAGAATGTGAAATGATTTATTGTACAAAGCAAACTGCATTAAAAACTATAATAAAATACCACAAACCCGAACTTAAATGTGAGCCTATGTCATGGAAAACATGACCTCTGTGTACTATACTGTTTGGTGTAAGATAAAATAAGCTACGTGGAAATTGTTTTCGACCATAAAAATTTTGTATTTTTTGATACTCCAAAACCTGAAATAGCAAAATTATTTATTATTAAAAATAAATGTTTTTTTTTCTTGTTATTGTTTCTCACAACATCCGGATCAATTTTCAATGCATCATCCACATCAATCCATATCACCTTGGCTTTACATGTCGAATGCCAGGGGGTGTCCTGCAACGCCATTGTACCCAAATAGGTGTGGAAAAAATCAAGTGAATGGGGTAGAAAATTGTTAAGCTTTATTGCTGGTTCGCCGGGCAAGGTCGTGTTGGTGTCAGAGAGAATAACCTTCGATAAGACTTGCTTAAGAGATGGCATGAAAGTGAATGCATGTTTTCTCACCTAGGAAAGAAAAATACTGTTTCATAAAAGGAATCCAACTTATAACGGGAAAATATAATATTCTTACTCGAAACATAATCGACAATATGGCGACACCTTCATTTTTTTCTACGGCCTCACCAAAGTTCCTATACTTCAGGCTATAGAATGTAATGTGTAATTCGGCGGGAAAGGACGACACATTGTTCCATGACCATTCATCGGGTACTTCCTGTCGCCAATTGAAATTGATTCCATGAAAACGATATTTACCCTTGCCCCGCAGAGGTCCGTTGCTCAAATTGGGTATTTTGCTGGAGTCACTGAAGGTCACATTGAAGATAAGCTGGTCACCATTATTTATAAGAACAACACGCTCGGCCAGTTCATCACAATGTTCACATAGCAAGGGGGAAAATAATTTATTTTTAATTACTAAATCTTCTCCATCATATGGTACTTCATATTTTCCAATGCACATTACTCGACCAAAGGAAAAGGCAGCTAAATGGAAATGCAACTAATGTTAGAAAACCAAAAGTATTTCCAATTAAATTTACCTTTGACTCCAGTATTTGTATATGCATTATAAAATGCTATAGAATAAAAGAAAAAAAATAGATTTATTTTTTGTAGAGAAAATTCATTGGAAGTCACTCTTTTCGTTGCTCCTCTAAGTATTCCGACTTAGATTTTGTAATTTTTTTTTGTATTTTCTTACCAACTACAAATATTATTCCTTCAAAATATTTCATAACCATTTCATGTGGTAAACAAAACGTATTTGATTTAATATATGGCTGAAAACTTTTCATTTCAAAATGTCCTTCTAATGGTCAATCCCTTGTGTACTACATAATAGTCCATTTTTCCCAAATCACTTATAGAACGATACTATTGACAGCCTTTTATCAGATATACATATACATTTTTTAATCCTGAATGAGATAGGACCATCACAGAAATAAGAGTGGATTTCCAGAACTTTTTTCAAAGACTTTCAGAGCAAGAAGCATGGTTTTGTTAAGATTTTCTTCCAAGGACCAAAAAGTGTGGATTTTCAATATTTTTCAAGGACTTTTAGAGCAATTGGCGTGGATTTTTTGAGAATATTTTTTCAAGGACTATCAAAGCAAAAATCGTGGATTTTTTGAGAATATTTTTTCAAGGACCGTCCAAGCAATAGGCGTGGATTTTTAACAAATATTTTTTCAAGGACCATCCAAACAATAGGTAAAAAAATATTCCTCAAAACTCCACAATTATTGCCCTGAAAAAGAAAATTACTAAATTTGTACGCTTATTGAACATTCACGTTTATTATTCTGATAGCACTTGAAATAATATTCTTAAAAAATCCACTCTTATAGATCTGATGATCCTTGAAAAAATATTCCTTATAAATCCATACATATTACTCTGACAGTCCTTGGAATAAGTACTCTAAAGAATAAACGGTTATTGCTATGAAAGTCCTTCAAAAAATATTCTTAAAAAAACCACTCTTATTTGTCCAATGGTCTTTGAAAAAATATTCTTAAATATTTTCTTAAATATTTTCTCAAGGACGTTCAGAACAATAATCTTGGAGTTTTTAAGAATTTTTTCAAGCACCATCAAACCAATAAAAATATTCTTTAAGGACCAATAGACCACAAAGTGAAAATCCGCGCTTATTGTCTGATGGTCCTTGTAAGATATTGGTCCTTGAGGGTCCTCGAAAAAATATTCTTAAACAATCCACGTTTATTGGTCAGATGGTCCTCGAAAAAAATTCTTAAAAAATTCACGCTTATTGTCCGATGGTCCTTAAAAGATATTGGTCTGATAGTCCTCGAAAAAATATGTTTAAGAAACCACGCCTATTGTTCAGATCGTCCTCGAAAAAATATGTTTAAGAAACCACGCCTATTGTTTAGATCGTCCTCGAAAAAATATTTTTAAGAAACCACGACTATTGTTCAGATCGTCCTCGAAAAAATATTTTTAAGAAACCACGCCTATTGTTCAGATCGTCCTCGAAAAAATATTTTTAAGAAACCACGCCTATTGTTCAGATCGTCCTCAAAAAAATATTTCTAAGAAACCACGCCTACTGTTCAGATCGTCCTCGAAAAAATATTTTAAAGAAACCACGCCTATTGTTCAGATCGTCCTCGAAACAATATATTTAGGAAACCACGCCTATTGTTCAGATCGTCCTCGAAAAAATATATTTAGGAAACCACGCCTATTGTTCAGATCGTCCTCGAAAAAATATATTTAGGAAACCACGCCTATTGTTCAGATCGTCCTCGAAAAAATATTTTTAAGAAACCACGCCTATTGTTCAGATCGTCCTCGAAAAAATATTTTTAAGAAACCACGCCTATTGTTCAGATCGTCCTCGAAAAAATATTTTTAAGAAACCACGCCTGTTGTTCAGCTCGTCCTCGAAAAAATATTTTTAAGAAACCACGCCTATTGTTCAGATTGTCCTCGAAAAAATATTTTTAAGAAACCACGCCTATTGTTCAGATCGTCCTCGAAAAAATATTTTTTTTTAAAAACCACGCCTATTTTTCAGATATTTTAAAAAATCCATGCTTATTTAACCTATGGCCCTTGAAATTTTTTTTTAAGAAACCACGCCTGAAACCAGATGGTCCTTAAAAATATTGTTTAAAACATCCACGCCTAGTGTTCAGATGGTCCTTGAAAAAATATTTTTAAACCAGTAGAAACGCAGCTAAGCAAGTAAAAAGACATGGCCCTAACCTGCCTACTGGTAAACTATGCATGCATGCAAAATTTTAGCCTACTATCTCAATTCGAAAGTGGTTACAACAGACAGACATCGCTAGATCGTCTTAGAATTTTACGCTGATCCAGAATATATATACTTTGTAGGGTCTATTATAGATATTTCGAGGAGTTACAAACGGAATGACAAAGTTAATATTCCCTCCATAGAATGGTGGAGGGTATAAAAATCTACGCTTATTTAACCTATGGTCCATGAAAAAATATTTTTTAAAAAACCACGAATATTGTTCTGGTGATCCTTGAAAAAAATATTTTTTAAGAAACCACGACTATTGTTCAGATGACCATTGAATGTTTTTTTTTAACCCACGCCTATTTTTCAGATGTTCCTTGAAAAAATAATTTTTTTTAATCCACGTCCATATTTTTTTTTTAAATCCACGCCTATTTTTCAGATGCTCCTTGAAAAAATTATTTTTTTAATCCACGTCCATATTTTTTTAAATCCACGCCTATTTTTCAGATGGTCCTTGAAAAAATTATTTTTTTAATCCACGTCCATATTTTTTTAAATCCACGCCTATTTTTCAGATGGTCCTTGAAAAAATTATTTTTAAAGAAACCACGCCTATTGTTCAGATGGTCCTTAAAAAATATTTTTTTTTTAAATCCACGCCTATTTTTCAGATGGTTTTTGAAAAAAATATTTTATTGCTCAGATGGTCCATGGAAAATATTCGTAAAAATCCACGTTTATTGCTCTGATGATCCTTGAAAAAAAAATATTCTTAAAATATCTACGCTTCTTGGAAATCCTTATTTTAGGACCTTCAAAAATATTCTTAAAATATCTACGTTTATTGCTCTGATGATCCTTGAAAAAAATATTCTTAAAATGTCTACGTTTCTTGGAAATCCTTATTTTAGTTCCATCAAAAATATTCTTAAAAATCCACGATTATTGGCCTATTAACCTTTGAAAAATGTCACATTTATTAGCCCAATTATCCTTCCAAAAAACATTATTTAAAATTTTGCTACTATTTGTTCAGTAGTACTTTAAAAATATATATAAAAAATCATTGCTCTAATTATCCCTCCTTATAGCCCTTCAAAAATATTTTTAAAATTTCACGATTAGTAGTCCTTGAAAAATATTCTTAAAAGTCTACAATATAGAGAATTGGTAATAATTTTAATAATCTTAGATTATTGGTCCAAGTATCCTTCAAAAAATATTGGTTCAATTATCCTTGAAAATTCACAATTATTCGGCCCAATTTTCCTTTTAAAAAATATTTCTTATCTTTTAAAACATATCCTAAGAACGCCACGATTATTTTTGGCTTAATAGCCCCACAAAAAATATTTAAAAAATTCAATATTACGGGTTCAATAATACTTCAAAAAAATATTGACCTAATTATCCCATAAAAGTTTGCTCAAAAACACCATAAAAATTATTAATAAAATCAAATTTTAATAGTTTGGTTTATTTATATTAAAATAAAAACAAAAATATTTATCATTACAAACGCATACCATCCCTGAGCCTCCAAATATGAGCCCGTATCTTTTAGGTCAGGGACCACATGGGCTCTGTATGCAATATTATTTGGTCCAGTATACCGTTCAATATTTGGAAATTGTGGCCAACCAAGAAAATTTTGTATTTTGTGATATTCCAATACCTAAAATTGGAAAATATTTAAAAGATAATATATTTCCCCCTGTTATGGTTAAGCATTCTTCTCACATCGTCCGGGTGAATTTTTATAGCTTCATTCACATCAATCCATATAACTTTGGCTTTACATGTGGAAACCCATGGTTTATTATGCAATGTCATTGTACCAGTATAGGTATGATAATCGTCCAGGGACCTTGGTAGAAAATCGCTAAGCTTTATTGCTTCAGCCATGGGTAAGCTGTTGTTGCTGGGATAGTAAATAATCTCCGATAAGATTTCTTTTTTAATCGATGGCATGAACGTGGATTCGCCTTTTCTAACCTAGGAGACAAAACATCATTATATCATTAAAGGGATTTAAGAAATTGAAAATCCTCTTTTCCTACATGAAATATAATCGACAGTATGGCAAGTCCCTCATTCGCATTTACAGCTGCCTCAAAGTTCCCATACTTCATATTATAAAATGTAATATGCAGTTCGGCGGGGAATTTCACATCATTCCATGACCAGTCATCGGGTGTCTTATAAATCCAATTGAAATGAATTCCCTGAAAACGATATTTTCCCTTGCCTCTTAAGGGTCCATTGCTCAGTGTGGGTATTTTGTTGGTATCTCCATAGCTTATATTAAATACCAAATGTTCACCATTATTTACCAGCGTTATGCTCTGCATATGTTCATCGCAATTTTCACAGAGCAGCGGTGAAAATGTTTTATTTTCAATTTGAACCTCTACTTCGTCGTATGGAATGATGTGCTTTCCGGCACATACTACCCGACCAGAAGTTATGGCAGCTAATTTAAAGGACAAGTGGTATGAAATAATTATTAGCTACATTTTCTTTGAAACTTACCTTTGACACCTGTACTCCAAAATATTTCATAAAACGCTGTAGAACAAAAAAGTTTTTCTTTATAATTTTAAAATTGAAGACCTATAGAAGACCTTCTTTCTCATACAATAGAAGACCTCAGAGGATCATACATTCAATAGGAAACCTATGAATGGTCTGGTATTTAACCCCATCGCATTCCATAGAAGACCCATAGAAGATCTCATGTCAAAAGAAAAATTCTAGAAGGTCTTCTATCAAACGAGGGTATATAGAGGTATTTTGTCCATGTCAACTGTATTTCATTACCGAAGAGAACTATTATTTTCACTAAATATCTGAGATCCATTTTCATTGAGAATATTCGAAAAACTGAGCTTATTTAAAATAAATATGACGACTGAATATTTCAATTTAAAAATGCATTTGCTAATGGCCGATCCCTTGTGGAATACACAAAGGGATACAATTATAGTAGTACAATATTTTTTATAGATTCACTGATGCATTGCGGATTTTGTTTTTTAATATTTATACCCTAAAACACCATTCGTTGGAGATATTAAAAGCTTGATTAGGTATAAAAAGTTTGTAGCCCCTTGAAATATTGATCCTAGACTTACGATGTTGTATATGGATGTTCCTATCTCGCCGAGCTGAGGCGACATAAGCTATGTGTGCCCGTCCTCACGAAATTTCGCATGGAGTTGGTGTTAGAGTCACAAAAAACTATTATTTTTGGAGATGATAATTTTGACCTGCAACTGCAAAATTAGAAAATTTTGTGTTATGGCCCATTTCAACTTCTAAATATCATCTCCAAAAACAATAGCTGTCCAAAAATAATCGACGTTAAATTTTTGCATGGAAAAAGTGTTCAAGTTTTGGTTTGATTGGGCCAAAAATTATGTAACACCTCGAAATATTGATTTCCCACATAGGAAATTATATATCGATCTAGATATGTATGTCCGTCTGTCCATGTTAATTTGTAATCACTCTACAGGTTGCAATTATGGCCCGATCTTCACGAAATTTGGAATGTAGGTGGGGCTAGGGTCAGAATAGAACCCTATTTCTTTTGGAGATGATCGCATATTTAGGGGTTGAAATGAACCAAAAACTGAAAAATTTACTGATTTTACAGTTGCTGTACAGGTCGCAATTATAGACCAATCGACGCGGAAGTTAGCATGGGGCTAGAGCTTAGGGCTGGGTAGAAGTCTACCAATTTTGATGGTCATCGGGTAATATATAGGGTGAAATAGGTCATAACATTTGTGTTAAATAAAAGTAAAATTTTCCATTAAACCGCGAATATTTTTGATGACGGTGAAATCGCAAATAGACGAACAGGTCAATTCTGACCGTTACACAGATGTCGGTAGTAAATATATCGGATATATATCGCGAAATATATACAATGTGTATATATAAAGGAAGGGGGTGATAGCTAGAATGCTTATATCTCAAGAATGGCTGGACCGATTTTTACAAATTTTGTCAATTCAGAATGCCCTCGTGGCATAAAAGAAAAAAGTTAAAAAATCGTATAAAAGGATGCCAATAATGATGTTAATATATTTTTGTAGTATTTTGTGACGTATTTTTATTTTTTCATATTTTTTATCGCATACGATTTTTTCATTTTGACTTAAAAGATTGAAGTGTAAATTTTGTAATATTTTTTCACCTTACAACACAGATTGGTGTTATTATATACAGTCTGCAATTATCGTTCGATCCTCACAAGGGTAGTGTTAGGCTCAGGCCTATTATTTTCATGTATGGATGGACCAAAAACAGGGCTGTGACATAATTTCAAAAGCGAAATCTTTCAAAATGGATGTGGACATAAAGGGGCTTCTAATATATTGTAGTGTTGTAGGGTATCACATGGTCGGCCCGCAAGACTATAGCCTTTGCTTACTTGTTTTTTCATATTTATGTTTTGAAAAACGAAAAAACTAACAAGTAAAAAAGCTGCTAAGATCAGCCGGGCCGAACTTTTTATACCCTTCACCATTCGGAAGGAGCTTGAAAATTTTCAAAAAAAAAAACCGTCGAAAAATACCGAACGCAACTCGAAACAATTCCGCTGAATAATGTCGCTAATACCATCAAAACTCCGAATATTGGGAGGTACCGTTGTATGGGGGCTATACTAAAACGTGGACATGCAAAGATAATTTTCCGGCATAGGTTGTAGTACCCATTACGAACTTCAAATACGAAATTCCGCTGAATAATGTCGCGAAAATCCAGGAAATACCGAATATCTCGGGATAGCGTTAATTGGGGGCTACACCAAAACGTATATAGACAATTCTCTTCTAGTGGATAAAGTACTCGGAGGGAACTCCTTTGACTAAAATCATCAAAATACCGAATGTACAATTTTATGGAGGATATACGATATCGTGGACCTAAATATACAATTCTCTTTCAGGGGTAAAGTGCTCACAGAGAACTCCTTGTGTAGAATTGCAGACAATTCCATTGAAAAATGTGGTTATAATCATCAAAATACCGAATATCCGAGGTACTGTTCTATTGGGGCTGTACGATATCGTAGACCAATATAGCCCATTTTCGAACTTGACCTGTATACAGACAAAAGACTGATCTGTGCAAAATTGCAGCTTTCTATCTTAATACGTTTTGACTGTAGCGTGATTACAACAGACGAATGTCCCTCATATAACGGCACCTCCCGACATTCGGTATTTTGATGATTTTTGCGATGTTATTCACCGGAATCGTTTCAAATGTCGTATATAAAGTTCGGAACAGTTACTACAGCCTATGACACAAATTACTTATGCAGGACCACGTCTTCGTATAGCCCTCATATAACGGTTTTTCATTTGAGCGGTATTTTCCGACGGAATTTTTTTTTGAAATTATTCAAAATTCTTCTAAATGGTGGAGGGTATAAAAAGTTCGGCAGGGCAGAAATTAGCTGCTCTTTTTACTTGTTGGGTCAAAAATTATTATTTCGATGAGTTACAAAAGGAATGACGAACTTAATATATGGAGGATATTATCTATGTTGGAGGGTAAAAAAACCACTTTAATTGCTCCAAAGGTCTTCAAAAATTATTCTCAAAAAACCACGTTTAATGCTTTGGTGGTCCTAGGGAAAAATCCCTACAAAATCCACATTTATTTGGTGGTTCTTAGAGATCCGGAATTCTTTGGAAAAATAATATTCGAAAAAAATCTTTAGGAAAATATTCGAAAAAAAATTCATGCTTATACCTCTAAGAAATTTGTAGAAAATATCCTCAAAGAGCCCTCGATTGTTGACATATAAGTCACTTAAAAAATCTACGCCAAGGGTCCACATTTGTTGGTCTAAAATTCATCGATAAAAATATTTTTAAAAAATCTATATTGAAATATAATTTAAATTAAATATGTAATACAATAACAAAAACCACCACCGACACAACAAGTGACCAATGATAACAACTTATCTCCAGCGAACCAGTATTATAAAATGTACCATTTCCCTTGTCAGGATTCAACGAACGATAGATTACGCCTTTTGGTCCATAATATTCCTTTAAGGGATACATTTGTTTCATCCCGCTGTATGTTAGTAATTTTTCATATCCATGGACCTAGAAATGTACATTTTTATTTTTAAATCTCCAACTGGCAACTCAGTAGCGTACCTGATTTGGATGTATTTTTAGCGGTACTTCCATATCAATCCATATAATTTTTGTTAGACATGTTTTATCCCACTGTGCCCAAACGGTTATATTGCTTCCCGTATAGGTGTAATAATAATTAAGGGATTGTGGCAGAAAATCTTCCAAGGATAGACGCTTTTCTGTCGGTATTGTGACGTTTGTCTTCCAAGTGGTCACTTGGGCAACAAAATCATTGATGACTGACAAAAATCCGGTGCTTGGGACATGGGGTCTTACCTGAAAAAAAAGTTTTTATATTTTTTTATATATTTTTTAATTTGCATGCACCTACACGAAATCTCATTGACATTATGGCCACAGCTTCATGTTGTGGCAATGCCCTCTCATAGTTCCCGTATTTGGTATTGTAAAAATAGACATGTAACTCGGCTGGAAATGTAAAATTATTGAAATCCCATTCCTCAGGTGATTTTTCCAACCAATTGAAAGCGATCTTTTGGAAACGATATATACCCTTTCCCCTCAATGGTCCATTACTTAGGGTAGGCGTATTCTCAACATTGTCATAAATCAAATCAATGACTAAGACATCTCCATCATTTGTTAGAATCACCTGTTGTGATGACTCATTGCACCTCTGACACAGTAATGGATAATATAATCGTTCCTTAATTGGCACGTTTTGAAAGGGCAAAGTATGTTTTCCATCGCAGTGTATTCTCTCCAATTGCAGTGCGACTACTTTATTTGGAGAAAGAAATACAATTTAAATATTTAGAGGTTTTAAACGAAAATACTTTCAAGAGCGAAATAAACTTACCATTTAGGCCAAATATTCCCAGGAACGCTAAGTTTTATTTTAAAATAAATTTTTGAATTAATACCAAAGAAAATATTCTTATTTTTAATAAATTTTAACATTTTTAACCATTCAACTTTATAGACTTACCAAAAAATAAAATTATATCTCGAACACATTTAACGTCCATGTTGCTTTGAGACAAAATGCCGACTATTTCTAATATGGGTAATAAAATCAATGTTATAACAAATTTTAAAACTATTATCCAAATACATTCCTATAGGAATATAAAAACAAGTAAAAAAAACATTAAGTTCGGCCGGGCCGAACTTGGAATACCCTCCACCATATGGAACAAAATTGAAATTTTTCAAAAAAATAAAATCTGTTTAAAATCCTGTTAAAATCTTAAAAATACCGAATATAGCCGTTATATTGGGGTCTATATGAAGACATGGACCTGCATAAGCAACTTTTGTCATAAGCGATTACAATATTCAAATACGAAATTTGAAAAAAAAAATCGGGTGAATAATATACCTAAAATCATCAAAATACCGAATATAGAGAGCTACCGTTATATCGGGGACTATACGAAGACTTGGACCTGCATAGACAATTTTCTTTCACAACCTGTAGTACCTATTGGGAACTTTAAATACGAAATTTCAAACAATTTCAGTAAGTATCGCAAAAATTCCGAATATAGGGAGGTACTTATATATGTGGCATATACGTAGACCTGAACCTGCATAGACAATTTTCTGACATAGACTGTAGTTCCAATTACGCACTCTAAATACGAAATTTGAAACAACTCCGGTGAACAATGTCGCTAAATTCATTAAAATACCGAATATTGGGAGGTATCATTATGTACGTTATGTCTAAAACTATTATTTCGATGAGTTACAAACGGAATGACGAGCTTAATATACCCTCCATACTATGCTTGATGGATGGTATAACAATTGATTGTATTACACGTCATAAGCAAAGTTGCAAACCATATTCACAGATATTTAGTGGAAATTTTGCCTAAAATGGAACAGAAGGTCGGATAAACTTAACGTCGTTCAATCGTTGCAAAAAAACGTTGACAACCAACTGTTACTTCAATATCCAGTTTCAGAATTTAAGCTCTATTACTTCAACCAATGCCAGATTTAGTACTGTTAAGTACTTTTCGTACAATCATAGTACACATTTCTGAAACCAGATCCATATGTCAATCCCAGATACCAACAGAGACCTCAGTATAATTGCAGCAGGGATTGCAGGTCTATCCCTTCAGTCGATACTCAATTTTGTACCACTTAGTATTTTTCGTACGTATTCTTTCGTGTTGGTGGTGGGGTATGTCTCTATATTGGTAGTGGCATTCCTTATAAGGTAGTTTTTCGTTCAAATAATTTTGGTGTTTGTGAGTCGGTGTGTGTTGAGTTGAATATTGGGGCATTGGTTTTGCTTGTGGCGGTAGTATATCTTCCCCATGGCGATGTTCAGTCTTTCTGTGATGTACATGAGAGTTTGTTTGATCGCTTCTCTAATATCATTGTCCTTGGCGATTTTAACTGTAATTTATTTGTGTCTTCGAACTCTGTTTCGATGAGAGGATTATGCAGATCATTGGGGCTAACTATTGTGCATAACATGAAACCTACCCATTATGATTTGGCCCATAACTCTACCTCGTTAATTGATTTTTGCCTTACTAGTGATAATTTGTCCTTGGGTTTCTCGTCTCAGGGTCGATGTCCTGGTATATCACACCATGCCTTTGTTTTTGGTTCGCTTAACCTGCCTGTATTTTCAGAGGAGAGATTTATTGAGTATCGTAACTTTGGCCGAGCGGATTGGTTGGGCATTTTAAATTTCATATCCGATTTTGACTTCAACCCCTTATATTCCACTTCTGATGTGAATTGTCAACTTTCACTATTTGATTTGTTGTTTAACGCGCTATTGTCTTTCGTTCCTGTTTCTGTTCGTAAGGTCAACCCCAGGAATGATGCATGGTTGGAATCTGATGTGGTAAAATCGGCACGGATGTTTAGAGATCTTGCGTACTTTGAGTGGCGCAAGCGACCTATGGAGGGTAATAGAATAATATATTGTATGTATAGGAATCGTTGTAAGGCTGTGATGAGGAATGAGAGGCGTAAGTACTATAATGATCTCTTTGGTCGTATGAATAATAATCAGCTGTGGAAATCTCTAAAGTCGTTTGGTGTTTTGGGTAGTGATAATGAAGCTCCACCAATTGATGTCAATGCTGCTAATCATTATTTTTCCAGTGGGAATCCTGGTTTTGTGGGTAAGCGTGGTCAGTCTCTTTATAGTGAGGGTCATGTGGGAGATGATGTTTTTCGGTTTTATTGCATATTTTATTCTGATGTTGTAAGGTCATTAAATAAAGTTAAGTCGGGAGCTGTGGGGGTTGATGGCGTGCCAGTAAAGTTTTTTAAACTTATATTTCCTGTCATTTCCTGCATTTTGTTAACTCGATTTTTATGACATCTACTTTTCCTCGGGCGTGGAAGGTTGCACGAATTGTTCCTGTGCCGAAAACTGGTGAATCATTTGATTTGCCGAATCTGCGTCCCATTAGCATTCTACCTGCTATGTCAAAAGTCGTTGAGCATATTATTAAAGAAGCGATTGTTGACTTCCTTGATGATCGTAGGCTATTGAGTAGTTCTCAGTTTGGTTTTCGGCGACGATGTAGTACGACCACGCACTTATTATATCTTACTGACATGATTAGAGATGTATTTAATTCATCTGATGTTGGGTTATTATTGGGCCTTGACTTGTCAAAGGCTTTTGATTCGATAAACCATTCCCTTTTACTTGACAAGCTAAGGTTTAAGTTTGGTTTTTCATCTTCTGCGTGTCGTTTAATGGCTTCATATTTGGAAGGTAGGTCTCAGTTTGTTGTTCATTTGGGTGTTTCGTCTGAAGTTTGTAGTGTCCAATGTGGAGTCCCGCAAGGTTCTGTACTGGGACCGTTGTTATTTATTATGTTCATTAATGACATTGTGCACTCAGTTGTTGATGACAGGTGTTGTCTGTTTTTGTATGCAGATGATATTCATGTTTTCTTCAGAGAGGCTGATATTGCTGGGTTGGAAGGGTTGGTTAATTCTATTGTTTTGTCTCTTTCGTCGTGGATTTCGCTAAATGGCCTTATGATTAATTGGAATAAAACTAAAGCTATGCTGTTCAATGATCATTGTAATGGTGGTTCTCTTAATATTACTGTGGGTTCTGTGTTAGTGAAATTTGTTGATGAAATGAAATGTCTTGGTGTTATAATTGATCGGAAGTTGGACTTTAAGAGACACATTGATTCCTTGCTTTGTCGTATAAGGTTTCAGCTGCGGAGGCTGTATTGTCTTAATGCTTATTTGCCTTGTCATGTTAGGAAGAGAGTGGTTGTATCCTTGCTGCTATCGCAGGTAAATTATTGTCTAGAGGTAGTCTCCGGTACTACTTCTTCTCAAATGCAACGTATCCGTAGGGCGGTAAATTCGATTGTTCGTTATGTGTATGGCTTGCGTCGTGGTGATCATGTTTCTTGTTTTGTTAATGATCTCCTGGGATTGCCATTTAGCAGCTACGTTGATCTTCGTATTCTTCAATTTCATTACAGTGTTATGTGCAATTTTGACTCGCCTCTTCGTGGCAACTTTGTGTTTTGTAGATCATCTCGAAATCCTCAATTGTTGTGTCCAAGGTTTTCGTCCTCCATTGGTGAGAGATCATTTGTGGTTAGGGCGGTGAGATTGTGGAATCAGCTTCCTTTGGCCTTACGTACTTTTGCCCATACCAATTATCTGTTTAGGGTTAAAGTAATTGAATACCTTCGCCTAAATATGTAGGCTATGTTTTTGTAGTGGTTGCGTCGGTTTATTATGGGTCTTTCTTTTTGCTTTTCTTTTTGTTTGGGCTGGGGAGCCACTATATTATCTTCTTAATTTTATTTGTAGGGTATAATGTGAGTTACTATTTATACTCTGTTTTGTGAGTAATAAAATAGTTATCTCTTCTTTTTAGCTCGTTTCTGCTACACTTTTTCACTGCTCTACTAGACTATTGTTTAGTTGGTGATGGTGAATCGAGGTGTAGGGTTTGAGCTTCTCGTGAATTATTAAGATAAATTATTAGGTTTAATATGTTATTTGTTAAGTTTGAATTAATCATTGAATTTGTATTATGTTAGGGTATTGTAGATAGATAATATAAGTTATGGGCCCTGTGGGCTTATTTATATTTCTTTGTAAGGTAAATAAATGAAATGAAATAGCAGACACCACCAGTGACATCTGTATCAAAATTAATTTTCGTACAATCATAGTACACATTTCCAAAACCAGATCCATTTTTTAATCGCAAATACCAACAGAGATCTCGTATCAAATTTCCAGATTCCACCTCTATCCCTTCACTTAACACGAAATTTGGTTCCATTCAATGCTTTTTGCACTTGAAAAAATATTCGTAAAAAATCCAAGCTTATTGTTCAGATGGTCCTTGAAAAAATATTTTAAAAATCCACGCTTAAAATTGCCACAATAGTCCTTGAATAATATTCTTTAAAAATCCTCGCCTATTGTTTCTTGAAAAAAATATTTTTTAAAAATCCTCGCTTATTGTTACTTGAAAGAAATATTCTTTAAAATTCCACGCTTATTACTCCTTGAAAAAATATTCTTAAAAATCCACGTTTAAAATATCCACAATAGTCCTTAATTTTTTTTTTAAATCCACGTTTAAAATATCTAAAATATATCTTGAAAAAATATTCTATCTAAAATATTCAGATGGTCCTTGATAAAATATTCTTAAAAATATCCACTATAGTCCTTGAAAAATATTCTTAAAAAAATGTGCGCTTAAAACATTCACAATGGTCTTTGAAAAATATTTTCAAAAAATCAACGCTTAAAATATCCACGCTTATTGTTCAGAAGGTCCTTTAAAAATATTCTTAAAAAATCCAAGTTTCTTGCAGTGATGGTCCTTAAAAAAATATTCGTAAAAAATACTCGCTTATTGCTTAAATGGTCCATGAAAAAATACTTTTCAAAAATACGGGCCTAATGCTGTAAAGTTCCCTGAAAAACATATTCTTAAAAATCATTGCATATTGGTGTTATGGACCTTGAAAAAATATTCTTAAAAAAATCGCGCTTATTGCTGTAATGGTCCCTGAAAAAATATTCTTAACAAGTAAGCAAAGGCTATAGTCGTGCGGGGCCGACCATGTGATACCCTACAACACTACAATATGTTCGAAGTCCCCTTATATCCAAATCCAATTTAGAAGATTTCGTTTTTGAAATAATGTCAAAGAGCCTGCCAAGAGGTTGCCCTGAATTTGGCCAAGATTTACGCACTTCGTAGTTTTGTTAAGTATTCCAAACAATTTCACACGAAAGTTGTGGTCCATTTTACAGCTAAATATAATCCAATGGTCATCCAAAATGCTAGACTTCTTCCCTGTCCTTAAGTCTCTTCTGATGCGAAATTCCGTGTCGGTTAGTTTTCAATTGTGGCCTATAGAGCGACTACCAAATTAGAAAAAATTATTTTTTTTAGTCCATTTCACCTCTAAATTTACATTTTAAGAACAATAGGCTTTAATTCTGACCCTAACCCTACCCCTATGCAAATTTTCGTGAGGATCGGACGACAATTGCGATATAATATACCCTCAGAACGTAGTGTTGGTGGCTGTTAAAAATTTAGAAAATTTACAATTCAAAACTTTAAGTCAAATTGAAAAAATCGCATGCTATAAAAATATGACAAAAATTGAAAAAAAAATCGACAAAATATATTCACTCTTTTATTGGTATTTTTTTTTCGAGATTTCTTTAGATTTTATCGTTTTCTGGCAAGAGGCCATTTTGAATTGATGGGAATTGTGAAGATCGGCCCAGCGGTTCTTTATTTATAAGCAGAATAAATAAGATCAATTTATTTACATATATGTTGTACCTATTTTGCTATATATCCGATTTCTTGGCTATAAGCATAAATTTAATGACCATAAGTTATCTTTTAATATTTTCTTGATTTGGCTGGGATTGAAAATATTCACGGTTTAGTGGAAATTTTCCTATTTTCCTACATAAAAGTTATGGTCTATTTTACCCGCTAATTATTGTCCGAAGGCCACCCAAATTGGTAGGTTTCTGGCCACTCCTAAACTCTAACTCCATGTATATTTTCGCGTAGATTGTTTTTACTCCATTTCATCCCCTAAATATCGTGCAAACATCTCCAAAAACAATAGGGTTCTATTCTGACCATAACCCCACCCCCATTTTTAATTTCCTGAGGATCGGTTCATAATTGAGACCTATAGCTTGATTACAAATTAACATGGACAGACGGACCGACGGACATACATAGCTAGATCGACTCATCTCGGCGAGATAGGAAGATCCATATATACTTTCCTATGTGGGAAACCAATATTTCGAGGTGTTACATAATTTTAGGCCCAATCAAAGTTATAATACCCCTAACACATAGTGTTGTAGGGTATAAAATTCGACACTTTTCGCTTTGTCCTGGCGATTCTTGAAAACATATTCTTCAAAAATCCACTTTTAATGCTAAGATATACCTCAAAAATCTACGTTTATTATTTTAATAATCCTTGAAAAACCATTTTTTTCTAATATTCAAGTTTATTTATAAATCCATGTTTAATGCTCTGAAGCCCCTTGAAGAAATATTTTTAAAAAATCCACGTTTATTTGCTTTGGTGATCCTTGAAAAAAATCTTTACATATAACCCTAGAAAAAATGTTAAAAATACACCTGGATGGCCTTTATAATAAGTCTTAGAGATCGCAAGATGATCCTTTATACCGAATTCTTTTAAACTCCCGTTTATACCCTTGATGATCCTTCACAAATTCTGTTCATAGTCCACGATACATAATGAAAAAGAAATATTTGTTTTATTTATTCTTGTATTTTATAATATTTTATTGATTCATTTACTTTTTATAATATTTTCCCATAATAATGTCTTGGTTGTATAATTTTTTAATAATAGGTATTTATAATATTGTTTATATAATGATGTATTTTGTTTTTGTTTTCCTTCTTTTAATTTAAAATTAATATAATTTTATAAATTAAAATGGTTTTGCTTCTTTTCCCTTACAAAAACAAAAAAAAACTTACAAAATAAAATAACAAACAAAAGCAAATAAAGAATGAAATAGAAGAAGAAGAAACTAAATCCAACAAAAAAGTGTATAACTCCAGCTAAAAGCAAAAAATTAAAAAAAGAAATAAATTTTTGGCTAATTAAATACTAAAATATTACAATTTTTTGTAGGTTTTTTTAAATGATTTTTTTCTCATTTTTTTTCTGTTATGTGATGGGGATGATAATTTTTGTCTACTTTAATACTTCGAGTATTATTTGTTGTAAATAGATTTGTTTTATCGCCTTGATAGGTATAAGTAAGTAAAAAAATTGGCGGCTACGAAATACACAACACATCACTTTTTGCTGCCTTGTTTCTCCTGTTCGCAATCGAATCGTTTTTGTTTTTCTTTTCATTTTGTTCACACCTTTTAGAGAGTTTTTAATATACAGATTAAATAAAAACTAGAAGGTAGAGTCGGAAGGGTGAGCCGACTATGTTAAAAATATTTGTATGTCTATATAGCATACACCATATCTACTAGTGTCGTTCTGCAGATCTTTTCCTTGAGGACAAATTCCAGAGGCGCAAATTCGTTTCAATGTTTTTTTAAAGTACTGGGGTCGAAAGTCATGCTTTGCATTCAATTTTAATCAACTGCCTTTAGAATTCAATTTTTTGGAGAGAATGTCAAGCCATTGCCTGAAAGAGTCTAAAGTCCTTTCCGAAACTTTGTTGAGGAAGCTGTCAAAATTTGCCAAAGGTCTCTCTTTTATAGAAAAGCCCATGTGCCTGGGCAGAAGTGGCCAATTTTCGTGTTTGCTTGACATCAGATTTTGAAATGTTCAAAATGCGAAATCTAATAACGCAGATGGATAATATAAATCATACATATTTTGTCCTATTCTTCCCTATCTTCATAAGTAAACTCCAATGGATATTGGTGTAAGCTATAAGGACTCGCAACTAATCACATATTATTTCTTGGCAACTAACACAAGAGTAGTTTTTAACGATACAAACGATAATAGTTATAGAAATATTGTATATATGTATGTATATAAAGAAGTATAGAGAGAGATAAGTCAGGACTATGATTATATATATATTGCCATAAGAGTTGTTGTTGTTGTTCATGTTCGGATATTTTTGTTTTTAATAATAGTTATTTTGCAATGTACGCTATCTCTATATATTTAATTGTATAGATTTCCTCTACCACATATATAGGAATATGGATATCTCTGGATTATATAAATGGGTAGGGTTGGGTTTGGGTTTGCGAGATTTCAAGCTACACTTATGTGTTTATATGTATGTATGTAAGTCGTTGGCATCCAACATAATTTGTTTTTTCTCTGAAGGCTTCTTCTCTACCTTAATTGGAATTTTTATTATTTTTCACATTTTGTTCCTGTTTATTTTCCCTAATCATATTTAACAATTGCATCATCATTAAAGCCTGTACCTTATCGAGGGGGTCCATAAAACCCCGCTGCAGCCACTTGGGTATTGTGGTGCGGGCATGACTGAAACCCAATTTATTGAGTATATAATCAATGCCATAGGGTTCAATGGATTTGCCAGCCCAATAGAGTATCCGCACTGTGGGTTCCAAATGCCATGTCTGACATTCGAAATGACGCCAATCACGAAAGAATGATTCTAAATCGGTATCATTGTTACCAGCAGCCGCAGCATCACCGCCAGCTGCTCCACCTGCTCCAGATGAGGTTGCATTTTGCGACGTACCGGATGATATTGCCGAGCCTGCAGCACCGCCACTTGTTACAGAGTTTGAATTCATGTTAGTTGTTTGTTTTGTTGCTGATGTGCTGGTGCCAGGGGTTGTGTTTGAGTCTTTGGTATCGTTGTTCAAATTATGATTGCTATTGGCCAAATGCTGTGCACCGGCATTTGCCATAGATGATTGTTGCTGCTGTGTTTGATTTACATCTAAATTGCTTGAGCTAGCATTCCGTGATGATAGAGTATTTGAAGCTGATGAATTGTTAGATGATGTCGATGCTAAATGCTGCTGTTCCTTAAGGATTTCATCGGTGACATAGGGTTTAAGCTGGTGTTTGAGGTTTTGCGAGAGATTGGGCGAGGCTGCACGGGCTGATTGAGCACCAACCTAAAGAGAAAAATACAAATATTTATTAGGTCGAAGAATATTTTTTCAAGCACCCTCAGAAAAATAACCGTAGATTTTTAGGAATATTTTTTTTTTTTTCAAAAAAAAATGCAAATAAGCGTGACGTTTTTAAGAATATTTTTTCAATGAGCCTCAGACAATTAACCATGGATTTTTAGGAATATTTTCTTTTCAAGACCATTAAAATATTTTTTCAAGACCCTCAAAAGATTTACCGTGAATTTTTACGATTTTTTTTTCAAGGACCATAAAGCAAATAATAGTGGCTTTCTTAAAAATATTTTTAAGGACCCTCAGAAAAATAACAGTGGATATTTTTGGGATAATTTTTGACAAGGACTAAAAAACAAATAAGAGTGGCTTTTTAAGAATATGTTTTGTAGGGCCCTCAGAAAATGAACCGCGGATTTTTAGGAATATTTTTGTTTTAAGGCCCATAAGGCAAATAAACTTGGCTTTATTAAGAATATTTTTTTCAAGGTTCCTCAGGAAATTAACCGTGGAAATAAACGTGGATTTTTAAAGAATATTTTTCCAAGGATCATAGGACCAATAATCTTGGACTTTTGGCCAATAAGAATATTTTTTCAAGGACCAATAATTGCGGATTTATTAAGAATATCTTTTCAAGGACTATAGTGCCAACAATTGCGATTTTTTTTAAATATTTTTTAAGGATCATTTACCCAATGATCGTAGGCTTTTTAGGATATTTATCAAGGGACATATTGCCTATAATCGTGCATTTTTTTAGAAAAAGAATTTCAGGCATTATTAGAATATTTTCAAAAAACAAAAGGCCAAAGCCTCGGATGTCTTTAGAAATTTTTTAAAGATAATTTGCCCAAAATTCCCTAATTTTTTAAGAATATTTTTCAAGAGGCATTAATCGGGAATTTTTTAAAAACATTTTTAATAACCCTCAAGCTATTCTCGTGAATTTTTCAATAAGTTTTTCTTTTATTATTTTTTAAAAATTTACTCACCACTTTCTCCTTCTCCTTGACATAGGACGTGATTAAGTCATGCAAAAAGAAGAAGGCATCAGCATCTACGGTCACGAAAATGTGATCGTCAAATTCTGTGGTAAAACTGCAGATAACCTCTGGTTTCATGTCTGGAAAATCAAGAATAAAATAAAATCATATTTCACATAAAGAAAAAATAAACCAAGAACCCACCTGATGGCTGCGGTGTTGTTGGGCCCTGTTTGTGTTCCGTTCTAAAATGCAAATGTAAACTGGGTAAGGCAAATATGACTTCACGATCTTGAGATTTGGTTGAACTGGCTGTGCTGGAGGCAGCCGATCTGGTACGTTCTATTGAATTCGAGGCAATTTCACGATCATATTCCAGAATGGGGAAACGATCAACAGCTAAAAAACGAAATTTATTAAAACTAAAATTAAAAGTGAAATATTTTTCAACTCACCATCAATTTCACTATTGGCAAATGCATAATGGAACCACTCATTCAATGTCTTGAATTGTGGTGGAAATACAATATTCCTCGAAATGCGACTAACAATGGCCATTGAATGATTTTGCTGCTGACCCTCTTCGTTGGACTGGCCCAGACATGAGGTTAATGTCTGTGTCACAAATATCTCTCGCGTCTCCGCATCCTGATATGCCTCAGTGGTGAAATTGATAAATGGCGATTTTAAACTAAATAAAGCCCAAGATTTTGATTTGAAATTAATGCCATGGAAACAGGCCAATGAAATATTATTGCCATGTAATTTCACCGAACCACCCAAGACGTTGCCATTGCGAGGCAGGCGTGTCACCAAGGTGGGAACAACCAGGCCAGCCACCATTTCCAATGGCTTCTGCCAATGGCGATGATGTCGGGCATCTGTGTTGCTAATGTCAGGACCCAAATTCTCCCCACCACTCATTTTCTTCTTCATATTTGCTCGCCGCTTCATGCTGGCATTTCGCTCATGTAATCGTGGTTCCAGACTGGAGAAAACACGTTTTGATGACTTGAATTGTTGTGTAAAGAACTCTTCCAGTTTGTAGTACATTTTCAGCAGGTCGGCAGTTGTTGATTTGGAAATCATGATTTGTAGCTGGAAATATTTGAAATGGTCATACTAAATGAAACTTTATTTAATGTTTAATAGAAACCCACCTGATCCCACGATAAATCTCCATGAACAAAGATAATAGCCTTGGGTGCCGAATTGTCATATTTCGTCTCCTCGGCCTTGCCAGCATTTAGCAGTGTAGTTTTCCATTCATCCTTCATGGCAGCTGAGAAGGAACTTATCCTCGTCATCAAGACCGAAGTGCCCATGTAATCCAAACGCAATTCCAATGCCATAAAACTCAAACGTATGGTGTGACATGGTTCCACGCCAGACTCTTCCTTAATATGGAAACGATTATTGATTTTATTAACCTCAAAACTACCACCAACAATGCCACCCTTGGCATCCAACGATGAACCACCCAAATAAATGCCAATATACATATTTTTATAGCCAGTGCTGCCAATCGATAGGCGACCATCTGATTGGAAATCTTTGGTTAGCCATACCACATTACCCATAACATTGCCCATATTCATTTGAACATTTAATTTCGTGAAATTTACTGCAAATAAAACCAATGTTTCCCAGGCGGTGATTTGATTCTTCTCCGAGGGTGGTGTACTGGAGGACTCATTACTCGACGATTTGCCCAAGGATTTGAGCTTACGTATGGCACCCGTCGATGATGTGGGAGTATCGAAATTCAATTTCATCTTATCACGACCATAGAAAGCAGTTGGATCCCCTGGAGATTTATCCGGGGTTCGGGTACGTTGAAAATCTTTGGGCGTCGTAGGAGTGCCGGCAGCATGATCACCACCGCCACCGCTTTCACTATTTGTTTGTTGCACACTCAAATCGCCCAAGAATAAACGACGGACTATACGTCGCCTGTACCAGGCCTTGGGGAATGCCAATATCTCCGTCAATCGCCGCATATCGTACTTGAAAGAGGCACTGCCTATATCAACAATGGTTGAGAATCTTACCACAGCCTTTGACTGATCCAACGACCTTTTCGATGAAGCAGATGGTTCGATGTAGACCTTGCGGCAACGTGTTATATGGAATTTTACAAATTCCACATTTATGCTCAGTGAATCTTTTCGCTCCGAATCGGTGAGTGGTGAAAATTGAGCTTCCTTTATGTTGGTCTTCTTGCCACCATAAGGATGGAAAATGAACACATTAAAATCGGCCAAACAGCCGGTAACACTGAGACCACCTTGAGGTGTTTTATCCTTATCCTTTTCAGGGCCGGATGTTGCTGCACCACCTGCAGTACTTGAATTTGATTCAAAGGGATTTTGTTGATTATCTTCATCGGCCGAACGTTTCGAAGAGAACACAATATCCAAACTGGGCAGTTGTAACATACATTCCACCCGAGATACGGGTAGGCAGGAGAATCTAAACGTCGAGGGTTGCATGTGGAAATAGACAATAACATCTACGGGGAAAGAGGCGTATTGTACATAATTCGCAGGCAAAATATCCAAATTGACAGCATTGTTAGAGGGGGTCTGTGAGCCGCTACTCTGTTCAGCCTTAGTGGGTATGGGTTCCAGAGTTTGTTCCAAAAACTCCAAAATATGTGGTGATATTATTGTCTCCTCGGGAATTGATTGTAAAGTCATCCAGGCAAATAGTGATGCCCGTTTAGTACTCATCCTTCTTGCCGATCCTGACATCATGGATTGATGGCTATCGGTGCTTGCCATGCGTGTTGATTCGCCCACACTGTGTTCCACAGTCCTTGATTGGTAGTGTAGTTTGACATCCAATCCCGGTATATGGAATATGGTCAGATCCGTCAGCATGGCAGCATTGGAGGGGTTATATCGTAACTTACTTTTATCCCTTTGCCTACGTGAGGGTGTTGGACTACCCCAATCATAGCCCACACTTCTTTCCCGTTTGTGAGTCTTAACGGTTGTTGGTCCAGAAATGCAAAACCGATCTTCTGTGGTCTCCTTGGTGTGTAGAACACATTTGCCCGAATTCACCAATACCTTGATATCCAACTCAAAATCTATATTGGGTTCCTGCTGCTTTTGTTGATACTGATGTTTGCGTCGCATTTCCACTGAGGTGCCATCAATGTCTATCTCACTGGGCGGTGTATCCGTGTGAGCATCTTGGGAATTGGTGCTCTGTGGTTCATCATCACTATCGGCATTGGGCAAAGATGTTTGCCGCATTGTTTCCGAAAATGTTACACGATTTGTGGCCGAAGTCTTGAGTGAAGCACTCCTCGAATGACATGAGGCTGGTGTGGATTGCAAACTTGATATTTCATCATTGGAGGCAATGGGATCTAATCTCCTTCCCGAATATGTGGCCAAACCATCATCAATATGATGACTATGGGAGCCACCCATAAACGATATGGATCTCTGCGATGTTTTCATGCTTCTACGCATCGAAGGACGTTTCCATTTTTGGATCATATCTCTTCTAAAGAATTTATAGCATATTGCTTGCAATTCTTGAAGTCTCCGTTCCTCGTGGGCAATCGTATTTTGTGTTGCCCCCAAGGTACGCAAATCATTAATGATCTTCAACTGTTCGGCCATTTCTTTTTCCATCATAAATGAACGCTTCTTCGAATCAATGGTAGGATCAAAAACAAACGGTGGTAGATTCTCAAATTCTCTACGACGTCCAAAGGTATCACGCTGTGACTTGTCTTCATCCTCGCTGTCGGGTGAATCTAAATTGGTCTCTTCTTCCTCGAAACCACTTAGCATGGTTAGAGTATGACCCAATGAGGACAATTGTTTGCCGATGTTAATATCCAAATGGATATCAACACCTTCCATTTGCCATTTAACATTCAGCAGCCATTTGGCATTTTCCATTTTCTTCGCTGCTGTGGTACAAGAGCAAACCTCATAGGTGCCCTCGGACACCACACAAACATTCATTATGGGTTCACTGGAATTTGGTTTCCAATCGTCCAATGTTGTTTCAAAATCATCAGCAAACCGTAAACACAAACCTTGGAATTTTCCCTTGGACACCAGCGAGCCGGAATTGCAGGCAGATATTATGGTATTTTCCAGGGTGATGACCACAGCTCCTTTGGGTTCAAAATCTTGATAGGATCTTGAGCCCCAGGACTGAAGATAAACATATGAAAAATAAAAGTAAATAAAATGTTATAATGATTGTGAAAGCAATAATATTTCATCAAAACAAATTCGATCGAATTTATAACAAAGCCATGTATTGTTCGAATCTGATTTGATCGAATTTATTATCCTATGGGTATAAAATCGGACTCAATCTCCCTGGAGCATAGCGCCGATTGGATTGGTGTTTATCCCATATTTGCATACTTACATTAGCTACTGGATTCAACGGCAGACATATGCCCATATCCTCTACAGTCAGCTGTAGGAACAATGTCGACAAATTCGAACCAGCTATGTTGCTAAACTGATTAAATGGCACTCTATCAAAGACCTAAAATAAACGCAAAACTCAAGAATTGAAATATTTGAAACAAAAATTTATGATTTTCTCCATCACCCACCTGTTGCGATTGCTGTTGGGCATTTTCATAATTCAAATTCGCGCGCTTCTCAGCCCAATACTCATAGGCATTCTTATAGTTCAACCACACTAATATGGCCTTATCAACAGCTATCGGCTGAATGTATACCAAAGGACGTTTTAACGTTAGCAGGATCAATTCTTTGTCCTCGTTAAGTAATTCATCTTGGAATGCATTACGTAAACCGATAGTTGTGTGAAAAAACGCATATTGTTGAAATTCCGGTTCGGCCTCATCAAATATCACATTACGTATCAGTTGACCGAGAGACAGATTAAAATCGATATGAGCTTTACCGAACATTTTACGATCATTGCCTTCACCCAAATTTTTGACACGATTGGATAAATGCAATTCCAATGTGCCCGTTTCAAAACGTACCGCCGAATTACAGGGTGTTGTGGCCGTCAATTGTATCCGTTTCATTGATATATTTAAAGAGAAAAGTATACGTTTAAGACTTGACTCTTGGACACTACCACTATCACTATCCTCCGACCAAAGAGGTACTGGTTTCTCACCACCATACACCTTTTGCAACACCTCGTTAATTTCACGCATAAACACTTTTTGCACAAACACCAAATGATTGAGTAAATCAGTTGTAAGACACCGTTCAAATTCTCCAATTTCGGCAGAGGCATTAACATAACCTCCTTGTCGTAAAATCACACCCTCAACACGTTCATGTTCCTCTTGGCGATGTTCCGGTATATATTCAGCACTTACATGGACTGGTGGCAAGGCAATACATGCCTCGGATGGTAGGTTCATTTCATTCTAAAAATACAACAGTCTAAAGATTAGCATTCCATTCTTCGAGGTAAAGCAAAAACTCACCCTTACCTGAATTTTAGTATTAAAACTCAGTGTATGCGTCGGCAAGTCTATGACAAATTTGGCTCGATTTCCCGACACACCAGTTGAACTGACATGATTCATACGATATTGAGCCTGTAGCGATGGCAGTAGAGCAGCATTAATTGACAACGATTGTAGAAGGACATTGAACTGCATAACCAAAGGTTGCAGCAAACCATTCTGTTGAGGTTGTGACCTCGTCTGAGTATTAAATTTACGACTATGATGTGGTGGTTTTTCTTTAGTATCCATATTTGAACCAGAGTTCCGTGAATGAAATGGTGATTCTGGTTCATCGACATTGTGTGTCCTTGATGCGGTGCGACCTGAATTGCGACCCACTCGTAGCTCTTGCAGCGTTGACGAGAGCTGCTTTGAAGAACGTGTCATCATACCATGTAGCGCCACAGGATGTTGGGGAATCTCTATATTAACAGGGCCAATTGACAGAAGGCCACTATTTTTATCACGTCCTCGTTTCGTGAGACTGGAGTAGAGAGTTTGACTCTTACCCACCGTTACTTTGACAACAGTTCTGAAAGGCAAAAATGGAGGATTAATTGGAAAACTTTAATTTATCGATAATGGCTATCGACTTCAAATGATAATTCTTATGGAAAGAGGTCTTTAATGGATAGAAGTTTATCAAAAGCTATTAAAATTATAGAAGACTTTCAAAATTTATTTTCAAAAGATTTTCTAGTGACAAAAGTGTTATTCTAGTTAGAATTACGGCAAAAAGTCCACATCAGATCGCACAGAATACCTTCAAAAAGACTTTTACAGATCGAAGGCTAGAAAAAGCCTTTAAACGATTTTCTACAGACAGAAGGCGTTCAAAAGTATTTTATAAACATGAAATCCTAAAAACGCCTTTAAGAGGTCTTCTATGTTCGTCTAGAAATGGAGGTTCTTCATCGGAAAAAAGACCTTAAGGGATATTCTGGACAGAATGACTTCAAAAGTCCCCAACAGATTGAAACGAATACCTTCAAAAAGACTTCAAGAGATCCAAGACTTAGAAAAGTCCTAGAAGCCTTGAAAAGGGCCTTAAGAAGCTATTCTGTAGGTAAAAACCTTCAAACGATCTTCTGTTGATAGAAGACTTTGTTTGTTGATAGAAGATTTTGTTTCTAGAGATATAGGCCTTCCGAAGGCCTTCTTCGAATAAAAGGGCATAATTGTCTTCTATGAATATAAAGACTTCTACCAATAAAAGGTCTTCTAATTAACATTCATGGCCTTTCAAACATCTTCCGTGAAAATTTTACCTTTAAAAGCTATTCTATGTATAGAAAGCACCAAACGCTTAATTTAAATAACAATTTCGAAACATGATTTCATTTCCGAATCTTAATACTTACTGTTGATTAGGAGCCACACCTTCCAGCAGCACAATCATGGCTCTTCCCACCTGTCCGGTGAGAGAACACTCCAACGAAACCGGCCTGGCCTTTTTACGCCACGTTGCCGAACCATTCAGAGTGGTTATTTCCGCTTCCAATTTAAGACCACTCAATGTGGCCAAAAGACGGGTCTTGTGTATTTTGGCCACACCAAATACTATCAAACGTGTCTTCTCCTGTGAGCTACTATCGAAAATTTCCTTATGTTGTGGCAGTGGTGTGGGTGCACTTGTCAAATCATCATCATCGTTGCGGGTATCTTGTCGGCCATAACCACCACCAAATGGTTTCTTTTCATTGGTCAATGAAATCCTTTGTTGTACCGTTTTAGTTTCTGGCATTGTGCCGTATAATTCCAATAAATGGAAAATAGTTTTCCAACAATTTGGTGTATCCAATAGAGGTGGTATAATGGCAGTGAAACCATTTTTAGTTATTGTATTATAATCGCCACTAACACTAGTGGCACAGGCTCCGGCACCATTAAGCGAAGCTTTTGATTCCAGCGATAGTTTAAACATATGATGTTCTGAGACGGATGTTGTTGGGCTATCTCTTAGCGGAGATGAAGATGATTCATTGAGATTGGTATAACCCAATTTGCCCTTTACCGATTTCCCTGTGGATCGTAGTTTTTGGGCAAATGATTGAGGACGATTTTTGGCGCTTGGCGAAGGTGTCAGCTGAATGAGAGGTCTCATTTTGCTGAATAAAAGTTATATGAACATCATTCGTTTTGGAATTATTATTTTATTTTATCAATGGCTTACCTTCCCGTGTGCGTCATTGTAACCATTTCATTGAATTTATCATATCGCTCATCGGAAGAATTTTCATTGTGATTGAAACGATCCGAGACGGAGCCAAAAGGCATAATATCATTGGGTTCAGAGGCTAGTAATAGAAATATATTACTTACAAAATGTTTTAAGCATGGTCGAAAGTTCCCCCGTAACTTACCCAAACTATATTCATCCTTGGCATTTGATTTTTTACTTATATCCGGTTGGTCATGGAATTCATTTTGGGCATCCTTAACATTTTGATACATATTGGTTATCTGATGTAATAAACGCAATAGAGGCATGTTGACCTAAAATACAAATAGGAATTATATAACAATCCCATTTTAAATACTTAGTATTGAAATTTCAAACTTACCTGTTGCGAAATAAATCTAATATTTATACTAAAATTAATCACAGTACTGGTATGTTTTTTCATTTGTCTACGTGACATATATATGACATTCTGCCTAGCCGTATCAACCATTCCGTCGGACATCTTCAAGACTTCCAATTCAATGCCAACACGTTCACACAAAAACAATGGAGTATCCATCATTATGGTTGGCCTACCATTCGCCTTCTTGCTTGGCAATTTTGTTGTCTTCGTTTTGTTTTTATCCCCCGCCTCTGAGACCACAATATCCACACGTATCGAATCGAAGGTGCCAATCAGTGATAGATTTGTGCCAAAGTTTTCCAATGATGAAATATCTGGGAGGGCGGAAAAAGAAAAAAAAATCTTAATGTATTACAAAATAAAGAGTTTTTAATTGAAAAATACGCCTGAAGTTTTTCCTCCCTATAAAAGATAATTACAGATTTCAAAATAAAGAAACATATTAAAAATGGCCCCTCAAAAGTCTATGGATACCAGGCGTTAAAATCGTATAGAGAAAGAAGGCCTTTAAATATCTTTAAAAGATCTTCTATGGAATTAAAGAGTTAACAAAAATATTTTTAATATACAGAGTGAGATGAAAAAACAGCAATCAACTTCAGACTGCTGTCACTTCTAAACCACTCGTCCGACAGCTGTCATTATATTATTTTCAAGCGTACAAAAGCATTTTGGTGAGAATTTTCCAGAAAAAAGGTATTTGTGATGGAATTCAAGTGTGATCGTGTCATTTCTTTATATTTGGCTGGAAAACCACAAGTACCTATTGTTAGAGCACTCCAGCATTTAAATGTGGATAAATCTTTTGTGTGTCTCTCGTTGCCGTGATACTGGTATCGTAGTCCGACGTCAAGGAAGTGGACGGAAAAAAAACAGCAACATCAGCACAAATAGTTCGAAAAGTAACAAAGCGGCTTTAACGAAACCCGCGTCGCAGTGGCCGAAAAATGGCTAATGAGCTGAAGATAACGCAATATTCCATTCGGCAACTATTGAAAAATAAGCTCGAAATTCCAAAAAGTGCAAAAACTTACACCGCAGCGGAAAGAAAATAGACTCAAAAGAGCTGAAGACTTGGCCGAAAATGGCGAACTGCCGAATTTGGTTTTCTCCAATGAAAAAACGTTCGTTGTCCAGCAGTTTGTAAACACAAAATATACTCGTGCCGAAGAGGTCAGCTGAAAATGTGCACCTTCGGTTGGCCAACAGAACTCAAGCGCCAACCATGGTGATGGTGTGGGCCGCCATAACAGCGATGGTCGCTCTCCGCTCGCATTAATCGACCATAATCGAAAATATTCTGGGGGGAGTATTAAAGCCTTGGGCACGCACACATTTTGGCCGCAGACCTTGGACATTTCAACAGGACTCAGCACCATCGCACTGAGCACGTGCCACCTAAGAATGGATACAAAATGAGGTTCCTCGCTTCCGTTAGACTATTCAAAATACCAAAGTGTCGATCAACTAAAGCAAGCACATCGTCGGGAATGGGCCAAAATGCCGGAGAGCAACATTCGAGCAGCGTGTGACGGTTTCATTGGCCGTTTGAAGGCCATAATTCATGCCAAAGGTGACCAATTCCAACAAATCTAAACTTATTCTAAAATTTGATGCTATTTCCGACATTTTTTGATTTCATTCAATAAAATTTAAAATATGTTAAAATTATGGCGTTTGACTTTGTTGCAGTTTTTTTATCTCACCCTGTATTTGAGATAATTACAGATTTAAAAATAAAGAGAACATATTACAAATGGATAAAAGCCCTTTAAAAGTCCATGGATACCAGGCGTATAGAGAACGAAGGCCTCGAAAATATCTTCTGTTGATAGAAAAAATAGGGTCAAAAAAACCATCTATGGAATTGAAGAGTTAGAAGGGTATTTTTAATACTAGGTCTTCTGGACAGAAAGTTTTCCAAAAGTCTTCTATGGAAAGAAGACATCAAATTATTTTTTGATGTAGAATATATTAAAAAGATTTTCTACAGATAGAAAGCTTACAAATCCCTTTTATAAAGAAACCTACAAAAGGTCGTCATCTCGATAACGAATAGATGAAAAACCTACCTGCATTGGAAAATTTATTAATCATTTGCTGTGGCATAACTCCCAGACATGTCAGTAGAGGCTCAAAAATCAAATGGGCATCCAAGAGGGTAATCGAGTCCTGCATTATACCCGGACGCAGCGGTACATTTCCAGGCATTTTACTAACTGGCGTTGGACGTAGAATTTCCTTTTCGGCAAATGCTTCTTTTTTCTTATTTTCCTGCTGCTTAGCCATCCAAAAGTATAAGTCCTCCTTTTGATTGTCCGAAGAGCTTAGCCAAAACTTATTCACGGAATTTGTGGAACTGATGGAACCCTCTTGTAAGGCACCATATTCTGGGGGAAAATAAACATATCAGTAAAATATATAAAACTAAATTTTACACCATAGGTATAAAACTTACCAATTTCTGCTGCTTGCTTATCAACCAAGCCCGATATAATGGGCAACATTTGTATGCTGGAACGGGAAGAATTGCCATGTGAATAGGTTGAAGCTTTGGTTAAACTTTTCCTGTATTTTTTGGTTATTTTAATTATTTATTTATTTTATTTTTTTTTTTTTTTTTTGCAAACCGAAAAACCCCCACAATTTGGTTGGATTTCAAAAAGGATTTTGGTATTTACAAATTGTTTGCAATCAATTATAAAAAAAAAACAAACAAGAAATGGAAGGACATAATAAACAAAATATATGTAGATCATATGAAAATATATATACAAATATATTTAAAATATATACAAATATATTTACATGTATCAATAATAAATATTTTCAAACTTACCCTCTTCTTGTCAAATGAATATTTGGTGAAGTCGATGTCGAACGTTGTGATCCATGTAGCACACCATCACTTGGATAAGCCATGCCAAATTGATTGGAATCTATATTGGTAATTTAATATTTATGGTTAGTTGGATACAATATGGGAAGATATTTCTGTTCTGTATGGTTTGGTGCTATAAATATGGCTATGATTTTCGGTGTAAACTGTAACTACAATACAGTAATAATATTCAGTGAGCTGTAAAGGGTTTTCTTATAAGAATTACTTTGAAAGATTTTCGATTGTTGCTTTAATAAGCAAAAACAAAAAAGTATCCAAATATTATTACATAGTCCCTTATTTCATTTCATTTATTTACCTTATAGAGAAATATAAAGAAGCCCACAGGACCCATAACTTATATTATCAATCTGGTCTTAGTCTTTTAAAATATCCATGATTGCGGCGTGGTTCTGAAATATTCTCTGGGTAATGAACAACTGGGTCTTTGTGATCCTTAAAATTGTTCTTAAAATATCCCTCTGAGATCCCTAAAATATTTTTTATGAAAACGATGATTGTGGCTTTTTCTTTAAAAAATTAAATTTCAACTCTAAGGGTCCTTAAAAATATTCTTTAAAAATCCATGATTTTGGCTCTGAACTTACACCGCAACAGAAAGTAAATAGACTCAAAAGAGCTAAAGAGTTACATCGCTTGGCCGACACTAAAAATACCAAGATGTCGATCACCTCAAGCGAGCGCTTCGCCGGGGATAGGCCAAAATACCGCAAAACAACATTCGAGCAGCGAGTGACAGTGGCATTGGCCGTTTGAAGGCCATAATTCGTGCCAAAAGTGACTAATTCGAACAAATCGAAACTGATTCTAAAATTTGATGCTATTTCCGACATTTTTTGCTTTCATTCAATAAAATTTGCAAAAAAGTAAAAATTATGGCGTTTGACTTTGTTGCAGTTTTTTTATATCACCCTGTATACACATTTTAGTATATGATTTTAATTTGAGTAACACACGACCCCGCTTTCATTATATAATTATGCCATACATTTTATGATGTTTATGAAATGAAAAGGCTCCATTACAATTCACTCAATACTGTTAGGTTTGTCCATAATGTGACACATATTTATAACAACCAACCTTGTTTTTTGTTCAACTAATAAAAGATTATAGAAGTTCAAATTATATTTAAAAAATAGATAAAAGAAACAATATTGATAGCAAAATAAATTACAGACACAATTGTTGCAATGATGTTTGGGTCAACAAGAGTGCTAGCATTTCAGCTTAAGATTTCCAAAGCCACCAAAATCACCATATCCATAAAAAAACCGCACAAACTTACCACACACATAGTGTACATATACACAGATACTTACATATACATATCTATATATAAATTATTCTAATTCAGGAAAATTAATGAACATATATCAAGTGAGGATAATAGCACATACACATATAGATATTGACAATATGGACATAAGGTGCATGAGGCCAAATTCAGATTTAACAGCGACATGGTGCATTGTAACATACATACACACAAATACATATAGCATATGAAAAATGGCTCTGATGACAACCAAGCAAACCTTGAACTGAAATGCTTTTTTCGAAAAATAAAATTAAAAATAAAACAGACAGAATCCAAAGAAATGATCTGAGAGTAAGAGCTTGAAGCAAATTAATATTGAAATTTAGACAATCGTTGCTCGTTTGTGAGAGGTGTAGAGCAACAAACTCAAAATTAAAAAAGGCATCAAGAAGAAAAAGAAAAAATAATTAACAAAAAAAAAATAAATAAAAATTTTGGGTTAAAAACAAGGGAAATATTTTGAACATTAGAAAAAAACTAAAAATCTCTTTAGACATTTTTTGGAGAAGTTTAAACATCCATCAAAGAGTATACAATTCAATCGAGAGGAGATAAAGAAAATTTCTAGTTTTTTTAGCTGTTCAAAATGAAACAAAGCGTTAATCAAAAAAATACCAATATGAGTTCGATGATGCTGTGTTTGCCCAAGTAATAAAGCATTCTCACTCTCTTCAGGATTGTCTCCAACACCAGCATATGCCCCTAAATCATTATCACCTTCACATTCTGGATCTTCGCATTCCTCTTCGTTTTGGGGGAATGAAAAGGTAACATTTATGGGACGTGTCAATTTATTTTTGTATTGATGTTCAAACAATATGGGATTGTAGAGGGAATTCTTCCACTGGCGACTGAGAACAATAATGCCCTGGGAATAGAACCAAGAAATTAATGGAATCATTTCATATTTCAAACCAATCTTTTCTGTGACAACTCTTTATTGTCAACCGTGTGTTATTATCTATTCCCTACATACCTGTCTCAGAGTATTAAGATGTGGTACATCACCCTGTTTGAAAATTCTCTCCACCTTTTGGACGCCCTCATCAAGCACCAATTTTTGCATAATGAAACACAACTGACAGCTGGGATCTTCTTGCAATGTCTTCGACAGTAGGGTATAGTTATTGGCATAACGACTCTGGAAAATTTAATCATTGTAAAATAATTCAATTTTGGCTTCCATACCACTTAACATACCTTTTTAATTTTTGGATTCCTCTGAATCTTCTCATTCTCCAATGCATCGGCCATAAGGCAAGCTGCCACCGAAGTTTGCCGTGTATGCAATGCTTTAAGTAGTGCCACAATTTTAATGGCCAAACGATTACTGGGATTCATCCAAGCCGTTATGGCTGGCGACGCCGTACTCAAGAGGTTCCAATCCAAACGTGTCAAATCAATTTTTCGTGTTATCGGCACACATGGCGGTGCAGCGAAATTAAGCCATACCGATTTCAATTCAATAACACATGACGAAGTTTTGTCCGTTTCCTTGTTTGCAACTTTATCAAAACCCTCCGGCTTTCCTTTCGTCTGATTTGTACCCTTACCCTTTTCAATATCCTCATCCATTACTGGCGGTTTGGGTGTAGATTTGCGATTATCATTTAGATTATCCACACGTTCTGTCACAATTATATTTTCCAAGGCAGTTTGGAATTTTTCTTTGGGAGTCTTCGGTGTTGGCGGCTTTTTGGTCAGCATACGCCACGCCGCCTCAGCTCTCGATGTTGTGGAAACATCTATTTGTGGGTTATTGGCAGCCGCTGCCGTCGTGGTATTCGTAACATTTTCCACCAAATCATTGAGTACACCATCCTCGGCCATTTCGGCCAATTCTTCTTTCGAGTTTTCAGACTTTTCAAAATGGGAACGTTTAACGATTTTTACACCCACACCTTCAAGGCCACATTCAAACATAATATAACCAATACTATCAACTCCTGTGTTGTCGGTCATTTTTAGGCATTCAAATAAAACTTTACTCTTAGGTTCTGGTATGGCGGTCACCATTATGGGCGATTCTTGCCCAGTGGTACTTTCGGTTTTTAAACGTCTCAGCTGGGCATGTGCACGCCCCACGTCCAGAGTGATGACAAGTTCTTCTAATTGTTTTTCCGAAGTTTCAATTAGAATTGGTTCACCTTGTACATTGTCGGGTCGTGACTGGGATGATAGATGGGCCAAAAGGGCACGTGTTCCCTTCATGATGCCACCCTTTTTGTGACTATTCGACTGCACTGTCTGTTGTATGTACACATTGTGCATTGAGGCTCGGGTGGTCTTGCCCAAATGGAATTTTGTTGAAACGCCCTCGATATAGAATGTCAAAAGGGAGACGCAGCTGAGATCCTGTAAAATAAAAATTAAATTAATAATATTTGATTTTGATCTACTGAATTATTTTTTTCTCGGACTATACGGTCAAATTCAGGTGAATTTTTTTAAGAAAAGCTTTTCAAGGGCAATTAAACAGATAATCATGGATCTTTAGGAATATTTTTTCAAGGACTATTTAGTGAATAGTCGTAGATTTGTAGAAATTACCAAATTACTTGGTAAATTAAAATCAAATTATAATAATTTGTTGGTTGTAATTGGGGATTTTCAAAAATATGTTTTGGTTTAAGTTTTTAGGATTTTTTAAAGAATTATTTTGAGATTATGTTCGTGGATATTAAAATAATATTTTTGAGGATATAATCGTGGATTTTTGAAGAATATTTTTTGTGGTTATAATCGTGAATTTTTAAAGAAAAATGTTGAGGTTATTATTGCGAATTTTAAAGAGTATTTTTGAAATTATATTCGTGGATTTTAAAGAATATTTTCGGGGCTAAAATCGTGGATTTTTAATAATATATTTGAGGTTATAATCGCGGATTTTCAAAAAATATTTTTGCGGTTATAATCGTGGATTTTTTAAAGAATATTTTTGAGGTTATTAATGCGATTTTTAAAGAAATTTGAGGTTATAGTCGTGAATTTTTAAAAAAAAAAATTTGAGGTTATAACCCTGGATTTTTAAAGAATATTTTTGAGGTTATAGTCGTGAGTTTTTATAAAAATATATATTGAGGTTATAACCCTGGATTTTTTAAATAATATTTTTGAGGTTATAATCGTGGACTTTTTAAATAATATTTTTGAGGATATAATCGTGGATTTTTTTAAATAATATTTTTGAGGTTATAATCGTGGATTTTTTAAATAATATTTTTGAGGTTAAAATCGTGATTTTTTAAATAATATTTTTGAGGTTATAATCGTGGATTTTTTAAATAATATTTTTGAGGTTATAATCGTGGATTTTTTAAATAATATTTTTGAGGTTATAATCGTGGATTTTTAAAGAATATTTTTGAGGTTATAATCGTGGATTTTTAAAGAATATTTTTGAGGTTATAATCTGGATTTTTTAAAAAATATTTTTGAGGTTATAATCGTGAATTCTTAAAGCAAATTTTTGAGGTTATAACAGTGGATTTTAAAGACCATAATTAAGGATCATCAGAACCATAATCGTGGATATTTTAAAGAATATTTTTGAGGTTATAATCGTGAATTCTTAAAAAAAATTTTTGAGGTTATAACAGTGGATTTTTAAAGACAATAATTAAGGATTATCAGAACCATAATCGTAGATATTTTAAAGAATATGTTTGAGGTTACAACCGTGGATTTTTAAAGACCATAATTAAGGATTATAAGAACCATAATCGTGGATTTTTTAAAAAATATTTTTGAGGTTATATCTGTGGATTTTTAAAGACTACATTTAAGGATTATCAGAACCATAACTGTGAACTTCTTAAAGAATATTTTTAAGGATTATCAGAAGATTAATCGTGGACTTTTTAAAGAATATTTTTAAGGATTATCAGAACCATAATCGTGAACTTTTTAAAGAAATTTTTTTAAGGATTATCAGAACCGAAATCGTGGATTTTTCCAGATATTTTTTCAAGGACTATCTGAGTTGTTGTTTAAGGGTTCAAATCGTAGACCTCTAAGAAATATTTTCAATCTTGAATTTTTTAAAATTTCTAATCGGAAATTTTTGAGATTTTTTTAATTGTGCATTTTCAAGATTTTTGATTTTTAAAAAGATTTTTAATTCAAAAATGTTTAAGATTTTTTTAACCTGCTATTTATAAAAATATTTTTAATCGAGGATTTTTGAGATTATTTCAAGATTTTTGGTTTTCAATTTGTTTAACCAGGGATGGGTTTAAGATCTAAAGCTTTAGTCGTGGATTTTTTGAGAGTTTTAAGTCATGCAATTTTTAGATTTTACAATGGGTAATATTTTTTCAATTCAGTCTGATTCCTAAAAAATTCCATAATTCAAACATCACTTGCTTCGGTCTTACCTGCACATTATCCAATGCCGCCACCGATATAACTTCTTCGATAATGGATGATTGCAACATTGTTATGCTGACTTTGGGTAGAACAATTAAACCCTGTGTCTTCGTCGATATACTCTCCTCGTAGACATCACTTAAAAATGAATCACCAGGACCTAAGAGATTTCTTTCGGTTGTTGAACGTTTTGAATTTGAATGGACCTGAGACCAATAACTCAAAGATTGATCACGTTTCAAGATGTTATCATTCTTAACTTTCGCTATACACGATGAGTGTATATAGTTGACAACGGTTAGTAGGTGCATATTTGAAAATGTCGGTATTGCCGATTCGACCATTCTGAAAGTAGGAGAAAAAAAATAAAATATTAATTGTCAAGTAATGAAATAAAACAGAAGAAAATACAATAAAAATGTCTATTCAAAATAGTTTTATTTTTATCATTTTGCTATTGGGCTGTCATGAGAGAATATTGGCGATTTCTGTGAGTAAATTTAGCAGTTATATAGACGTAAGACAAAGCGAATCAGACGAATTTTTCAACGTTTATCCCCGATTTATAAAAAATCATATTTAATTTTTTTATGTTGTTCCTTGCAGGAAGACTTTCCGACTAACAGTATTTCCGATGAAAACTTAAAACAGGGTTTAAGTGATCTCTCCCTTGATGATTTACGGGTTCTTAATAAATTGATCGATTTGGAGAAAAAACTGTATGATGACTATGATTATGACAGGTAAGATTTATGTCATACAAAACTGCCCAAGGAGCAAATGAAATGGTCTTAAAAGGAGGTTTTATTAAACTGCTTATCCTTCTGAAGAGATCATAGTTTTACATTGCAGCTCTTATAATAGAAACACAGATAAAGATCAACACATAAATCCAGATGTCATTAGTTACCCTGACTTATATGATGCCACAGAAGAAGAGGCAGAGCAGAAAACCATGAAAACGGACAACAATCTCTTAAATTATGATTTAATTGATAAATCCAGGGACGATACTCCTATTGAACTTGATGACCAATACCAACGAACAAAAAGAGAGGAACAGGTATATTCACTTTAAAAAATGCCTTTTCCTGATCTTTAAAATTCCTCTCTTCAAATAATTCAGGCAAATGAAGCATATATTCAACAATTACATGAATCATTTCCCAGAGATACCGACGAATCAGATGATTTGAATCTAAATAACTTTCCTAGTCTAAAAGAACTTGTTCGCGTCAAAAGAAATTAAAATATATATAATTGCACTTACCTTTGTAGTCCCTCCAACAATAAAGGTGTTAAAAACACATTAACCTGACCCTTGAGACGGGCCACAACCGATGTACATGCCGCTCCCTCTGCCTGCAGACTCATAAATTCCCCATCATCAAAACCATTTGTAGATTTATCACTTTCTTCTTCCTTCAGCAGAACACTAGGATCCCAGGGATGGGATTTAGGACCACCCATAAATGTGGCCGAACTATTACTGCCCGTTGTGTTTTCGTAACGTGGCACCACTTTTATTTCTCTCCACGATGAGTATAAATCAAAATGTGGTACCATTTTACTGCCAATATAGGTTAGGCCTCCGTTTTCATTTTCATGAAATAGGGGTGTTGAAAATACATCCAAACCCGATGGAAATGAACATGAGGTCCAATTGAAACATTTCACTTGCGATAAATGATTCAAATAGCTGGCCATGAGAAGGGGTGAATCGATAATGGGTCGATTCACTTGTTGATGCAAATTGACCAAGGCAACATCTTCTTGTGACGACATGGCTGAGATAAAGGAATTCGACGATAAGGAGGGTGTTCCCGACGATGATGCTCTGGAGTCCACCTGTGATTTGAAGTGGTATTAAAAAGAAAATAGATAAATACAAAATGTAGATAAGTAAATGTTTCTTTTAGTTAAAGGCAAGGTTTTTGGTGCAAACGTTTCATTTCTTTTGGTTTCACACTATATCTAAAATGATGCAAAGACATTCTTAACATAAATTTAATATAAAAGAGTAAAATGATAAATATAACTATACAATGAAAATTCAGTCGGTTTTAATAATCAATCTTTTATTGGGAATAGTTTAAACACTTGTCCGTACAATGTATTTGGGATAAACACCAAAACGTAGGATTCCCGGATTTCTTTAAAACTTTATGCAAGGATTCTATAGGAAAAAAGTAAAATAGTATCAGTAGGGTTTGCGACAGATGTATACCCCCAAGCCTTGAATTATGATTATTCAAACTATTTACCCTTTAGGGGGAGGTTCCGAAGCTGTTGGCCATTTTTGATAAACTACATATTCATATCAGATTTCTGGTTAGTATAAATATATAGATATAGCAAGTTGTAAAGAATCACCGACTTGTTCGCAAGTTATGACAGATATAAATATTGGAAATTGAGACCCTTTGAGGGTGAGACACCAAAAGGGGTTGGCATCTTCACAACAGATTATGCAGTAGCAAAAATATTTGGATGTACGAAATTTGAAGAGAGTTGGATGCATATCTCGCTTTCTTTGAGAGTTTTGTTTTTCAAAATCTTGAAACCTATGTGGGGGAGGTACCAGAAGAAATCTATACCATCTTTATAACTGATCTTGTATTGATGGAAATATTTCGGGTTTTATGAGGTTAATTGATACCCAAAATTGACCCTTTGTGTGGGAGGTACCAGAAGGAATGGACCGATAAATCCCATCTTCACACCAGACCTTGGGGTAATAAAAATATTGTGATATGTGCAATTTGAATATATCCAAAAGCTTATTTCGGATTTTATTATCGTTTTGGTTATTTAAAACTTTGACCCTTTTTGTGGGGGAGGTACCAGAAGGAATGGTCCGATCTCTACCATCTTTATAACATATCTTGTGTTGATGAAAATTTGACCCTTTTGTGGGGGAGGTACCAGAAGGAATGGTCCGATTTCTACCATCTTTATAACATATCTTGTGTTGATGAAAATATTGAGATGTACCAAGTCTTAATGAAATCGGATATTAATTTCGCGTTTAATGAGCTTCATGGATACTCAAAATTTTGACCCTTTGTGGGGGAGGTACCAGAAGGAAAGGACCAATATATCCTATATTCACACCAGACCTTGTGTTAATAAAAATATTGTGATGTGTGTAATTTGAAGAGAGCCGAATGCTTATTTCGGATTTAATGATAGTTTTGGTTATACAAAACATTGACCCTTTGTGGGGGAGGCACCAGAAGGAATGGTCCGTTCTATACAAGATCAGTCTGAATGGAGTCGGACATTTTGACCCTTTGTGGGGAAGGTACTCGACGGATATTGTCCATTTTCTCACCTGGCCTAGAACTAATGCAAATATTAGGATTTGCAAAGTTGGAGCAAAATGGGACCTGCCTTGTTGTTGTTCTTGTAATAGTAAAATTATTAGAGATATTAATTATTCACACAGATATGGCCAATTACATGATCGATTCTGTTGTTAAATATGACTGAGTTGCCATCCTTATTTTTTTCGAAGGATTAAGAGCGATTTAGTCATTCGCCAGACTACGAAGGCAATACCAAATATTTTAAAGAGAAGTTATTCTATCCACAAAGAAGCCAAACAAATCTAATTACAGCCGATTATGTTGGAAACCCATTAAAATATCGAGGAGTAAATCTGCCCACAGACAAATCAATTGAGACAGAAATTAGTAAATGTTGACAGAAACTCCGAATTACCGAAAATACAATTTTTTTACAGTAGTTATGTATAGAAGTTTTTGGAACAGTCCAGTCCATTGAATATAAATAAATAAAATTATATGGAGCTATACGCAGAGCTTGGTACATATAGTCCATTTTCGCTACAAAACAACACAGACTCTTTCTTCAATTGTGCGAATTCTATTGTGATTTCAGAAGACGGACAGACCGAAGGCCTTTGAATTTTAAGCTAATCATAAATATTTATATTATAAGTCCACGACGAATATAAACTCAATTTTATGGTGGAGGATATAAAAATGAAAACTACAGACCAATACAAAATACCAAACCCCGAGAGCTCGGCCAGAATCACATCAGTTTAAAAAATATGAAATAAACCTACACACATTTGTCTACACACGACATTGTATCTATACAAAAAGATATAACTAAAAAATCGTGCAAAACTTATTCATTTTCCGATAATAAATCAAACAACATTTTTTTATCATTCACAACAACGACATGCCAACATAGAAAAAATCCAATTATTAAAAAAAGAATAAACATTTTACAAAACTTCACGTTTTGGGAAAAATGTTTGCAATATTGAAACAAAATGCTAAATTAAATAGATACCTAACTACCAATTTGTACTACATAAAGACAAACAAATGGGCCAATTGTACTATTTTTTGTTTTGTTTCGTTTTTTTTTTTTAAGTTCCAACTAAGTTTAGAGGAAACCAACTAAAGAACAGAAGTGAAACTAAGTCAATAAAACAGATTCTAGAAAACAATAGAGTAGAGTAGAAAAAACAGTCTAATAGTTTTTTAAAGGGGAGGTTTTGGAAATGTGTTGTTCTTTTTAGAAAGAAATATATAGTCTAGTAAAAACTACTCACATCATGAATAAAATGTCGATACTCAGGTCTTGATGTAAGTTTTCTGATTGGTGTAGCAAGACCATGAATACGTCTGACGTCTTCGTTCTATGAAATTGATGGGATTGGTTTTTTTATACGATATACAATTTTGAGTTTAAAGATTTCAATTTCAATTAGTGGGAAGATGATGATTTTTATTTAAAAAAAAAAAACATGTTAATGTTTTGGGGAAATTATGTACACAAAAGAGGCATGAAAGAAAGGGGGATGTCATGCAAAAGAAAAATAGGTAAAAACAGTTTTGAAAAGAATTTGAAACAAATAGTTGAGATTAGTTGGAATTTGTTACATTTCGATTTCGATTTCGATTTTGAATTTGAATTTTCGTTTTGTATAATGAAACTGAGACAAACTGTTTTGCTTAATTTACAGAGTTAATATAAAAAGCTAGGTAATTTTAGATTTTGTTTGTTACTTTACTTTAGCTTTTGTTTAGAAAATTTTATACCAAAAAAAAATTAAATGAATTTTAGTTTATTTTAAATGCGTTTCTTTAGCTTTAGAAAAACGTAGATATATATGAGTTTGATTTAAAATTTCAGGTGGGGATTTTGAATTGAAAAAATGTATATAAAAGAAACAAGGAAAATACTTACCAATTCGGTGGTGCTTTGGGGACGTTTTGACAGGGATTTTACATTGGGTTCTGGTGCATGGATTTCCAAATCACTTCTATAGGTATTCAATGATGACAGTGTAGCATTTTCATTTTGATTGCCAATGCTGTTTAAAAGAAATACATTTAATAATTTTTATTTTTTTCTCGAATATAATTTAAAAATTCACCTCAAATCAGAAGAAAATCGTTTCTTTCCAGAAAATATAATGGAACCATTGTGATTTTTAATTGAGCCCCTTTGAGACATCATATTGGAGATATCTTCTTCGGCAGAGAAAAACATTTCGGAGGGATTCTCCGATGTCAGAGATATGGTTCGTTGAACTTCCCTAGTCAAATGTTCACCATTTGTTAGATCACTTGGCAGCTGTGACTGCATATTGATGTCGGCAATTTCAAATTCCAAGGGATGTGAATGGGGCGCAGAATGCGACATTTCATCGGGTATCTAATGAAAAAGAAATATTCAATTATTTTTTTGTAGAAAACGTAAATGTTTCTCTTTTTATTTCTCACCTCCAATTCATCTTCAACATTGGCCTCGCCAGTTAAACGAGAATCAGATATACTTGTCTTCGGTGGTGACACACGCAGTGTATTATTTTGCGATTTATTCGAATCGGAACCTCGGCGATAGACCACAATTTGTGAATCGGCCGAATCTTGCCGTAAGATCTTTTTCGATGGACTATCCAGTAGACGGGCATAAGGAACTTCTACAGATGTTTGTCGTGTTGTTGAATATGAATAACGTTTGCTTCTACGTTCCAGTGTATTGGGTGAGCCAATACTTTCTCTAGATTTGCGGCCATTCATATCCTTGTCCAGGGTTGAGGCACCACCTAACTTCATTTTTGCTCCCACTATATCTTTGCCAGCCAAATCGGATTTTTTCAAACTACCATTAACGGCGGTTGGAGGACGATAGAGTTTTCCCTATTTTCAAAAAACAAAGAATAAATTAAAATAGAAATCGAAAAAATAAACAAAAATTCGAAAGAAAATACGATTGAATAAAGGCAATATCTCTGATTTTGAATTTATCCCGGATGCCTGACCCTCTTCAAAAAATCGTAATTTTCTAGTTTCTATCTTTGCCCATTGAAAACTAACCGAAATAGATTTTTTTGTTTCGCGAAATTGTTAAATATATTAAATATATTAAAAATTTCATTCAAAATCACAGGTTTGACATTTTCAATCGAATTTGCTTTCAACTAATTTTAGAGAAGCAGGCATTTGAAGCCAAATTACCCACCTTTCCAGTAAATTCGGCAGAATCATGCAGTGAGACTGAATGCAAACTATATGGCGGTGTATGGAATACCAACTGTCCTTGATGTAAAATACTCTCTCCAAAGCCAAAATCTTTATTGTTGTTTATAATGCTGAAAATATCCAATAATCCAATTAAATAACACATCCAAAATAATCCATAATTCTCCACTTACAAATATCTGGCAATATTATAATTGTCCTGTAGATCCTGGGCGGATGGTTTAAAGAACTTCAAGCCATTACGATTACTACCAAAGAAGGCACAACCACCAATACAACCACAACGTGATATATCCACAACACCAGTAATATTGCTGGACGTTGTTGCCGGATTTGACCACAAGAACCACAAACGTTTATATTTCATGTCATGTTCCCGCAAGAAACTGAAATGAGAAGAGAATCATACAAATTAAATACACATTCTCCATTGATTCTTAGCACTCTTACTTATGCTGCACCAAATGTAATTTATGATCGGGTATGGGCAATGCTGATGCTCCCTCCAATAGTATGGGTCCCAATGAGGTGCAACCAACTTCAACCCAATTTTCAAAGAATTCACTATCATATGCCGCTGTAGTCCCGCCAGCATTTGGTCTCCTACATTCCGAGAAGCTATCACGCAACTTACGGGAACTCTCCTCGCGGGAATCTCTACGCTGAGAAAATGAATTCGAGCTACGTTTTCCCTTGGCCGGATGGGTGCCATGATGATGTATATCCGATTTAACAGACTCCTGATCGGCTCTACGTAATTTACCCGAACGATTGCTGCCCGTGGTATTTGTGTTATATGAATTTGTCATGTTTGTTGTACAACCAGCATTTAACATAAACAGTCTTATCAAGATTGAGGGTAGCAAGCCGGATATGCCCGATTTGACACGTTGCCCGTGTAAATTACAATTGGCCAGGCGTATGGGTGAGATCTAGGAAAAATAAAAACCAGACTTAAATTTAATCGAATATGAAGTTTTTCATAGAACTTACCCAAGCATGTAAAGCTGTACCACTTTCGATTAAATAAACATCTACTGCATCTACAGAAACTCTAGTCATCTTATATTTAATATCCTCCGCCGAGGGACATTTGTATTTGTTTTCCTCTTTGGTGTGGGGACATTGATTACTGGGTACACCATGATGGCAATTGCGTACAGTTTTGGGTGATTTCAAACAATTCTCAGGATCCACAGCTAGCAGAGCCAACGTCTCTAGGCCCACAGCAACATTAAATAACTGGGGAAGGGTCAATTTACCCGAGAGTTTTCCCAACTGGACCTCTACAAGCCAAGAATACTCCAGGGTATCCTCATCTAAAGCACAACCTTCATTACTAAACATGGCATGGCCACGAACCTAGAATAAAAAATCGAATTAATTTACAATCCGAAAAATATATATACTTTTACCTACCTGCACTGCCGACAACATTAAATGTCCCTGATTGATATGTTTATCACGATTCTGTCTTGGCACCAAATCCGATGTTATCAAATATGAAGGGCTGACCAAAACTTGCAAAGTTGTCTCGTGATAACGTTTATTCATCTCAAAGCCCAAACGTTCAATCAACACCACAGGACATGGTGGATCATTTTCATTGCAGTTTTTCATAACATGTGCCTGTATGTCGTGTATAATCACCGATACTACAACCTCTAGAGGTCTATATAATCTAGGATCGAATGGTTTTTGTTTCTCCTCGGGCACAGTAACTTCTGATATGGATTTTGTGGCCAAATCTTTATCTCTCGATAATAGCTGATCTTTGGGATTTATGGGTGGTTGTATGACGGTTTCTTTGGTCTTAACATTTGATTGTTCCATGTCGGTGAAATTTTGATCTTCTCCAAATATGTTCTCTTTGAGATTTATAAAATTTCTCAACACATTGCCATAACACATGAGCACAGAAGAACCAATTTCCAGCTCCACTGTAACATGATCGGCCGGCAGCGTTGAGGGATCAAATTTCTGCTGTTGTTCGGCGGCCTTTTGCCAATTGGGATTGGGCGATTTTCTGGTCTTCGGTATACGCATGGGACTGAGCAAAATTTCTTCTTTTTCAGGTGTTGTTATATCGGCCTGGGGATCTGGCCCCAAGGGTGGTGCTGGATGATAGACATATTGTATTGATAAGGCCACAATTGGCACCGTCCAGCAGTCGATCCAACCCGCCGAACGTTGACAAATCTTGCGCCATTTCTTGGTGTATAACTCTGGTCTTGTTTTCACTTTACCACTTCTGGTCAACAGACGGGCATTTTCATCTATGGCCAGTACTATGGGCCTTGTTGAGGATACTTCCGGTACATAGAGGCTCAAATCCAAGCCCTCGCCATGAATCCAGAATTTCAATGTAACAGTTTTGGGCAGAAAATCTTCAAAAGGCAATGCAAAACTCATGTCAAAAACATCACCACAAAAAGCCAAATGGTTGTTTTCCTGATTGGCACTGGAACAATCAATCCAATTGTATTCATTGCACAATGTAAGAATTTCAAATTCATTGAGGAGTATATTAAATTTACAGGTATATGGCACAAAGGATAAAATATCCGGTCTGGCTTTGCTGGCCCAATCTTCGATGAGATCTTGAAAGAAACATTTATGTTTATAGACGATGTATGCAGTTGCCTTGCATCCAGCCAGGGATATGCTCCAATCTTGTGGGGCATTCCATTTGGTGGGGTAGTGTATGCGCACTTTATATTCCAGGGATTCAAATTCGGCCAAACTACGATATTGCAAGGAGGTTGTGGCCTCCACATGAAACAATTGACCTTGGATTTTGGAGGTGTAACCCTCGGGATGTGTTACCCAGGGTATGGTTACTTCAACATAGGAGGCAGGTCCCACAGTGATGTGCATGGCATTTGTTTCCTTCTCCTTGGAGAATAAAATATCTATGGTGGCTTCATTTAGGACACACAACGTTACATCAAAACTTTGATAACTACGCAGTTCTCCCGGCTTGGGCATTGGTGTTACTTGCATCTCCTTCCAATCGGGAGGATAGAAAAATTTAAATAAATGATCCCGTTGTCTATCGGCCCAGGGACCATAGCTGAAATCGGTGCCCTTTAAACATTTGATATTTATACCCAAGACGGGGAGGGAGGGCTCCACTGTATCACCATTGGCCAAAGTAATGTGGACTGGCTCCTCGGGCACAACACCCGGCTCATCCATATAGAAATATAAATCCATTTGATTGGACATCATCACAACAAATCCCTCACCCATATAACGTGGTGGCTCATCAACCAAACCCGTATATTTGGGACTGGGAGCAAACATAACTTTGGCGTTCTCCACATTGGCCTTGACGAAATGCATAAAATGATCCAAACGGCACACAGCCGGTTTGGTACTATATGTACAATGGGCCTCCTCCATCGATATGGAAAGGGTGGTGGGCGTCAAACGGTTACCGAATACAAAACGCCCCGAACATATATCAATTTTAATCACTGGTATGAGATCACGCCATGTTGTGGCTTTCATGGCTTCGGAATGTTTGACACTTTGTCGTTTACTTTGACGGGCATTTTCCATGTTCATGGTGTGCTCTTTCAGTTTGATGCGTTCCTCGGTCGAAAGGGAATCGGTCTGGAATTAAAAACATACATTAATATTATTTTTCTTTAGATGATCAAGAAAACCTACCGGTATCAAAACCGATGGCTTCAAACCAAATGTTCTCTCCAGTTCGTCATACAACTGTGAACGATTGTAGATGTGCAATTCAAAGCCATTTAATTGCACTGATAACCTGGTATCCGAATGGGACAAATCTGAAAAAAAAAAACATTTTTTTAATTTTTTCCAAAGAAAATTTTGTTTAATTCGATATTACCTTCGGATACATCCTTGGGTACATATGAACGCCACCAACGAAATATGAAATAGCCATCTTGTACCCGAACAGAATAGTCGAATGTTATGTAGACAAAATCACGAAACATTATTTTGCCCGCTAAAGGATTTAAAGCTACAGATCCTGTAAGTGTGCGAATAAAGAATTAGTACGATTAGATGAATGTTATGTAAGAGTACCTTACCTATTTTAAAGAAAGCTCCCTTGATAAACCAACGATTGGCTATTTTTGTTATTAGCATTCCCATTAAACGGGAATTGTAAAATGTGATGTAGGTTACCCATGTTATAGATGTTAGCAGTGAACATAGAAGCCATATCTGAAAATAGTAAAAAAAATAATTTTAGTATAACTTTGAAGAAGCAGTAACAGTAACTTTATAATAATTAAAAAAAATAACATATTTTTTAGAAACTGAGAAATTGAACCAATGAAAACGTTGTGGACACAAAAAAGAAATTCCTCTATTCGAAAAACATTTTAACTTCCCACTGTCTATACAGGGTGAGATGAAAAAACTGCAAACAAATTCAGACTGCTGTCATTTCTAAACCACTCCTCCGACAGCTGTTAAAATTATTCCAGTGACAGCTTATTATATTGTTTACAAGCGTACAATAGCATTTTGGTGAGAATTTTCCAGAAAAAAAGTTATTCGTGATGGAATTCAAGGGTGAGTGGTTTCTTTATATTTGTCTGGAAAACAACAAGAGGCTATAGTTAGAACACTCCAATATACATATGAATAGATCTTTTGTGTCTTGTACCATCGCTCTTTACCGTGATACTGGTAGCTTAGCACGCCGTCAAGGAAGTAGACGGAAGAAAACAGCAACATCAGCAGAAATGGTTCGAAAAGTAAAGAAGTCACTCGTGAAGAAGTGGCTCGTGAGCTGAACATATCGCAATATTTCATTCGGAAAATATTGAAAAAATGAACTCGGGGTAAAGTCATTGAAATTCCAAAAAGTGCAAGAACTTACTTCGCAACAGAAAGTTGCTTCGCTTGGCCGAAAGTGGTGAACTGCCGAATTTGGTTTTCTCCGATTAGAAAACATTCGTTGTCCAGTAATTTGTAAACAAACAAAATGATCGTGTTTGCTTGCTAAAGATGTCAGCTGAAAATGTGCACCTTCGGTTGCCCACCAGAACTCAAGCGCCAGCCATAGTGATGGTGTGGACCGCCACAACAGCCGATGGTCGCTCTTCGCTCGTATTGGTCGACCGTGGCATCAGAATAAATGCCGAATATTATCGCGAAAATATTCTGGAGGGTGTATTAAAGCCTTGGGCACGCAAACATTATGGCCGCAGACCTTGGACATTCCAACAGGATTCAGCACCATCGCACTCAGCACGGGCCACCCAAGAATGGTTGCAAAATAAGGGTTTTCGCTTCATTTTCAGCGCACAATGGCCACCAAAATCTCCGGATACCAATCCGTTGGACTACTGTGTCTGGAGTATTTTGGAAAGGATGGTTGGCACTAAAAAAATACCAAAGTGTCGATCACTTCAAGCAAGCGCTTCGCCGGGAATGGGCCAAAATACCGCAGAGCAACATTCGGGCAGCGTGTGACGGTTTAATTGACCGTAGGCCATAATTCGTGCCAATGGTGACTAATTCGAACAAATCTAACTTATTCTAAAATTTGATGCTATTTCCGACATTTTTTGACTCTATTGCAGTTTTTTTTTATTTCACCCTGTACTTATTGAAAACTGAAATTAAAATCAAAAAAATTTTCAAAAACAATGATTAAAAGAAACTTTCAGTACTAAAGCTTTTAACCAGTTTTGCCATGGTATCGAAAGATTCCATATTTATGAATCAAAATCTAGGCATTTCTATAATTTTTAGCTCTTTGCAGCTGATTGCAATGAGGAAAAATATCAAATTAATGAAAACAACTTGTTGAATATAATTTTGATAGGAAGCGGGCATAGCCTCAGGGCTGAATTTTTTGTAGTTTTACGAAGCTGTTCTACAGCTTCAATAAGAAGTACGATGCTTGGTCTCATTAACATTTTACAAATGTACAAAAAGTTTACATTGGATTTTAAAATATAATTTTTTATAATCCCTTTTCTCCACTTGATCAATACAAGGAACCCTCTTCCCACCGCACTGTTAAAATACAATTATGCTTGTCCATATCTTGACCAAGGATGAGCACAATTGCCCAATGACCTTTCTATATATCTATGGCATTCTATAATCTCTTCTAAATTCTAAAAACTTGTACTTGGTACAAATTTCAAAATTACCCTAGAGGATACATAACAAAAATATGACTAATGATATTATATCAAACCACAAATGTATATCGTATAAATAGCTTTAAAATTACTTTCATTCTTTATACAATATTGGTATCCCCATTAAATAAAAATCTCCAAGAACCGCGACCACACCCACCCACTCACGCCTTCTTTAAACCACATGTCCCACCACATTTCGACACAATCAATCATTTTGACGTGTTATCGGTAAATGCCGGCTTTTTTGGTAAATAAAAATAATGAGTAATTCATTGCGTGTGTGTCCGTGTATTTGTGTTATTTACAAAAAACAGCAACAAGTGTTTATCATTGCAGCGCACTCACTCAAGACGTACATGTGATTGCGCTGTGTTTTTATTTACATTTTATAAAAAAAGTCCCGGTTTGTTTACAAACACAAACTTCAACAGGTGTTTGGAATTTTGGGGTGGGGTAAGAAAGCTAATAAAAACAAACACACAATAAACAGCTGTAAATGAAGAAAAAATATGACAACTAAACACAGCCTCGAATGAGGAAAACAGTTAAGAGAGGGGAAAGGAGTAAAACCATGTAAATATTGGCCGGCACAAAACGTTTGAATTTGGCGGCGCTAAATATTTACCAGGCAACTTTGGCAAAAGAATTCGGAGACGTGCAATATGTTGACAAGCGGCGTATTGTTATCAACGGTGAGGACGGCCTATGTGACAGGATATGTTAACATGACTTGATTATGATTATGATTACCAAAAAATGGTTTAAATTAATTTTTATAAAAGCTTTAAATTTATCTTTTGAAGATCTATTTATCGACAGTTTTTAATAGTTCCATACGTTTACACAACTAAGATTGAATAAATGTACAGTTATATTTATACAAATACTCTGCGATTGTTAAAAAAGTCTTCAATAAAAATAAATTCAAATTAAAGGTATATTGAATTTTATTAAACATAATCCATTGGTCTGTATAAATGGTCCATCTACTTCTTTCTGTGAGAGTAATGTTAACAGGCAGATTTCCTTTAAAAAATAGGAGGAGAAGAAATGCAAGTGATTGCAATTTTGAATAACTAGACACATCTTATGTAAAATTTGCTCTAAGAAAAGGTCCTTGTCCAAAAAAAATATAAGACGGGAAAACTAGCTGAAATTACAGACATTACATAAAAAAAATCAAAATCAACCTTCCAGCCGATGAGAAGCTGGTGATAATAAATTTTCTGGGCTAATATCCATGAGAAATTTTATCAGGAAAATATGTTTCCTACAAGATTGTTCTGTCTTGTCATCCTAACCGTTGTATTGAATTGTAAGCTTCCTTTTAGCAAATCTTTGCGACATTGCGAAACTTGAGTTGCAGCACAAAATATAAGCCAACCATCTTTGGTAATTATATTTACACCGAACGACGATCGTTCCCATTGAAGGCAAAGAAGATTTACAAACTTGTTTGGGGATCATCCAAACTTTCATATTATAGGTAAAAAAATCTGTGTCCTGATGCGCCAATAAACATAAAATAGAAAGGTCCAACAGCATGAGAGAGCGCCTGTAAATAAGCAGCCAATAGTGCGATTATCTTACGCATTTCTTTAGTTACCGATAAAATCGATAACCTTAAAAACCAAAATTTTGATATAAAAAATTAGTTGAAGTTGACAACATAGTTATCTATCGGTACATCTTAGCGACTACTTTGATTTGGTCGCTACCCTACCGTTAATTACAGAAATTATAAACATTTTAATTTTACCGACTTTTGTCGGTAACTTAAAAATGAGTTAGTGAATCGCACCACAGGTCTGAAAAAATTAAGTCTAAAAGATGGAATCATGGAACGCATTCCGAAGCCATTTCGAGATCAACTATTATAAATTCACTTTTCCATGTAAAATATACAAAAATGGCAAAAGGGATAGACATTGGGATAGACCCGAGTCCCCCGACTCACCTTGCGTACGTCCCCGGACAGCGCATCATTACTTGGGAATCAAACGAATTAATTTGATCGCCATCAACTAAACTTCACAAACTAAATTGTAACAATAACCCAAAAAAATTAATCCGTGACGTTATCCGAAAACCTAGAGATTTTAACCTTCTTAAATTAATTATTTAGGCATCGTCAGAAAATCTGCTGAAAATAGATTACTCTACTGGCGATACTCTTCTAGTCATTTATCATCTAGGTTTTAAAGCTTTATATATCAATATATCCTCGTATGCAACACATTGATTGAAAACTATAGGGGCGGCTGTATAATAAGGATACATTTTGACGGCGTCACCATAATTACTAACGGCATCGCCTCTCCCATTTAGTGTTACATGAAGCCCTATACAGCACAACACCTTATACAAGAAAAAAATATATGAATGAATTCTTTCAAACGCAATAAATTTAACAAAATTTAATAAAACAATGGTTTTTATTGTAAAAACACTATCTCAATAAAAGGAAACAATAAAAAATTATGATAAGGGTATGAAAAAGAAACACAGACTATAGTAGAATATGTTATTTTATCAGTATCACTAGCAAATCGGGGGGAAAGAAATGTGTGCCATCGCATAAGGCAGTGACTGGCCGAGCACAATACGATGTCTGTTCGATGTCCATCATCATTATTTATTATTATTTTCTTTGCTTAATCCAACAACACCACAATTCATTGATAAGCATATACGAAACAAATACAACAACAAATTTGGTCAACTAATGGCTATAAACATTTCCTTGAGAATAATATTAATCAATAAGAAAACCCAGATAACGAGGAAACTGCAAACTGCACAGAATGATTCATGCTAGGCGTCAATGGACACCACCACACCACTACCAGAAACAACACCTCTGCCAAAATATTCATAAATCAATAATAATAATGTAATTACCATGGGAGCATCGATTTTCATGTTTTCCAAGGCAATGTGGCCAGTGGAATTCCATGTTCCTGCATCGGCAAAACCAAAATTTATTTCATTTTCCTCCGTCTCCATGTTTGGGCTGGCTGTGCTCGAGATTAGTTATGGACAATTTTGCTTAATTAAATTACACTAAATTCATGCACACACAGTAAAACGAAACGCACACACAGATTTATTGCACTTTGAACATTTGTGGGATACAATATTTTTTTCGCTTCCTGATAATTTTTTCTTTGTTGTGACTTCGATTTTTTGCACTTTTTAGGGCTGGGTTCATGTAACCACCGACCGCTACCAGCAGCACCTTTCGAAATGTGAACTTTTTTTGCTATCAATTCGTTTTATTTTTTATAAATTTTAAAACTACGTCTAATTTTATGATTAACTTAATGTTAAAACACATTTTGTTTCAATTTTTTCGTTAGCAAATTCATGGTTTTCTCGTTTTTCACTATATTTTTCTACATTTTACTCGTATATCAGATACACAAAACGAAGACGACTGACGTGGGAGAGAAACGGCGATGAGTTTACATCAAGGGACGGCTTTATTTTTGTTTATTTTTTGAGGAAAACAATGAAGAGATGTGTTTAATTTTCATAATTCGTGAGGTTTATGCGGAAGTTAGCCTTATGCTAGGAACACAATTGGAGCGAACGACGAATTTTTTCGCGGCGTATGTTCGTCGTCAAAAATAAAACACATATGTGTATATGGAAGTGCACACAATCACGGCACCGGCGAAAATTTCGTCGGTCGCCGCGAACTCAATTAGATTTATTTCTATTTCATACGCCGGCGACCGGCGAACAAAACAGTACAAGGTGGCCATACTTGTACGAATTTTATGTGTTTTAGTAAATAAAGTTACTTTTTACTTTAAAATTTGTTATGGTCACTCTACTATCTGTTACTCGTATAAAAAAAACATAATTAATTTGTTTATTTATTTGTGTACTTGCGCCTGAGTGAAGATGGATATCACTGAATTTATAATAGAGAAGATGGACATAAGTGAAATTATAATAGTGAACGTAAAGAATTATGTGTTCTTGTATAATTCATTGTAGTCAACAAATGAGCAAAAAGTAAACAACTTCATCAGCTGTTTTATAATTTCGTCGGTATTGTGTTCCATACGACGAATTTTCGCGGCTCATTTTGTCGCCGCGTAGGGCGAAATTCGTCGTTCGCTCCAATTGTGTTCCTAGCATTAAGAATTTGAATTTAGGTTTTAGGAAAAAGATTGGAAAAGGGGAAAAGCGATGATATTTCACCTGCATTAAGTAGAAAAAGATAGGACAGTAGTAACCGATCACTCTGACACATTTGGTCAATGTCCGTTCGCCTGTAAAAAGCAAGAAAAGGTTTGTCTGATTACATTTACTCCAGAAATTGTACCGTAGCTTTTTCTTTGAGAAAGTAAAGTGGTTTTATTCTCTTTTGAAAAAAAGAAACAGTAAAAAGTGGACGGAGTCTCTACAAAAACTTGCTGATTTGTCAAAACAAAACAATTTGCGCGCCATAAAAAGGGTATTAAGCACGCAAAAATTAACAATGAGCGGGAAAACAAAACAAATAGGCTTGAGATTTCCAAAATAAAGGTGTTTAAAAATTGAATACCCAAATATAAATCACCGGAAGAAGAATTGCAATAAGAAATTTGTCTGGAAAGAATTTGCGAAGTCTCTAAAGTAACTGTCAAAATTTACCCCTCGAAACGCTCTCTTTTGCAGAACTGTTAACCGACGACTTCCAGTAACAATATGAAACGATTGTTAATTTGGAGTTACCAGATAGTGAGTGGTATTCCATTTCCTGAGAATCACAGTTTTAACAACCCCTTGAGACGTTTTTACCTCTATACGACCGTTAATCTTGCCATGTCACAACGAGGAAACCTCATTTTTCGTTTCAATACAAGCTTATTGCTCTGAAGTTGGCAGTGACACAGTCAGCACGTGTGGTACGTTTCACTGTTAGTTAGAAGGCTAATCAAGTAGATGGCTTGTAAGAGCCGAAAGGATATTTTACCGACAACTATAATGCATTCAACGCAAAATTTTCTTCTATAAAAGCGATATGTGTACTCATGGTATTGAAATGCATTAGTCCACAAATGTTATATTACCAAATCAGTCAAAAATTTAGGGACACTGAGGAAGTAAAAACAGCCTTAACTCCAAGGATAACTTTTAAAGTTGATTTAATGATTTATAGATCAATAATTGCAACATATCTACAATTGAGGTGTCACAGTTAAATTTAAAAAAAACTATTCAAAGCCTGTTCTCTAAACTTCGAACACTTCTTAAAAATATGTTTTTTCAAAAATACTAAGTCATACAAGGTCGATTACGCACTTCAATCCAACATCAGTTGAGCTCTCTGCAGTCAAATTAATTATAGAAATCCGCAATTCCTTTTGAAGAACATATTCTTCTTCATGATTTTTTAATTCCGGAATGACACTATTTAGTACAATCCACAAACCCGGTTCTAGGACAATTGTCTTAACCTCACATTCTTCTTGGTGGTGCATATCCACAGGCTTAGGTAAAATTTCTTCTCTTGCCACTAGCGACACCACGTGGTACCTTTAGCATCTGCCATGGAGCTTTCAACACAGTGACGTCATTTACATCTTTCTTTTTTCTAACATTTATAAAATAAATCACAAATATATTTGTATATTTTTAATTGTTTTGTTTTCTTTCATTATTTTAAAATATATTATTAAGTGCGAAAATGAAGTAATTATGGTAATATACGATTATTAATAGTTACAGAGTTTTAAATATAAATTTTGTTTAAGGACTTCTCATATTTATAAATACATGGATTCAGAGGGAAGTATAAAATAAAATCCTAACATAAACAGACTCTTCCGGGCCAAATATCGTCGATGAGATGATGTGGCGTGAGAAATGGTTATTGGCTGAAAATTGTTTGCTCTGGTGTTGGTAGTTTAGTGTATGCTTATTATCTGGTTCTGTTTGTTTTGCCTTGTGGTTGTATTCTTATTTTCTATAACTAATGGAGTTTGTTGTTGTTTTGTTTAAGTATAAAAGAAACATCTGCATTTTATTCTGTAGCAGCCATTGCTCTGGCCTGGGCACGCACACGTTTCTCATATTCCAATCGATTTTGACAATAAATGGTATAAGCTTCAGCTTGGGCAGGATCTTTAATGTTGGGCTCATTCAATAGATCTTGAATGCCCAAGAGGATCTGTTTAATGGTAATGGCGGGACGCCAATCCTTCTCTTCATCCAACAGAGATAAACAGACCGTCCCCGAGGGATATACATTGGGATGGAACAATGGAGGTTCGAATTTACACTTTGGGGGTGAGGTTGGATAATCATCTTTGAAAATCATACGCAATTTGTAGAGACCACCCTCCCATGGGGTACCCTTCTTACCGGGAATGGCACATTCCCAGATCATCAGATTCAATGTGCCATCGGGATTCTTTGCTGGACGTGCCACAAAACCGAATGGATGATCTTTGCGCCATGCCTTTCGTTCTTCGCCTAAACGTGTGATAGCAATGCCAGACATGTTGTTCTTATTTTCTTCAGATCAGTGTTAATAGAACGCCTTGTTTGATGCCTTCGTCGTCGTTGTCTTCTTCTTTCTTAAGTAGTGTTGCTGTAAAATACTGGCTGGCTGCTAGAATTTGCGAAGGCACGCGTCTTATTTTTTCTACAAATTTCTGCCGACAAAATACACAATATTTAACAAAACTTCACTTTAAATTCAATCACCACTTGTTGTCCTACCTTTTCGCTAGAAATTTACTTATATTTAATAGTAAACAAATGACTTAATGTAAGGCTTTGTTTGAATTTTGTAAGCCTTCTTTTTTGCAAATTTCCTCACAAAGTAAAAAAATGCGTTAACCTTCGTATAATGTTCGGCCTCTGGCTTGTGTGCATGTGTGTGTCGCAAAAATGACAAATTCAGTGTTGATAATTTTGGCGCTCGCGTCACATTGTTGCATTTCGTACACAGTGTTGTATTTCAAGAGACAAGCTTGGTTGGCAACACGTGCTATTATCACAACAGAAAATATTTTAAATTAAACCGATTTTTTGGATTTATTACTTGCAAGAAATTTCAACTTCAAATAAACAAAATAGCATTACAATACAAAGGAGAGAGGTTTTTACACTAAACTATATTTGCAACTTTTATCGGCATTAAAAATCTGATATATCGATCCACATTTAGGTATATCTCCCCATACAATGGAACCTCCTAATTTAGCGGTTTTGAAGTTTCCCCAATCTACAGCCGAATTAGGTTTTATTAGATATTTCGGTACCTCAGTTGTTGGATCAACTCGTCTCAAAAAAATATCTAAATAGAGGTGTAGCTTCCATATGAAAGAGCTTCCAAATTTTAGCGATTTCGAGGTCGATTTGGCCGCAATTCAAGTTTCCACTTGGTGGTGGATGGAAGAACTTTTGTCCAGTCGAATTTAAAGCTAAAATCGTAACTTCGGCTTAAGAATACAACATTGTTGTCAGCTGAAAGAGGCACGCAGATGTTACAATTTAAGAAATTTCACAATAATGGATCCATAGATAAACCCATGGTACAATAAGGAGCTAGAACAGCATTGTAAAACTTCAGAAATACAGCCGTGAAGCTGTGTCCGCTTCCTGTTAGTCTCATTAAAAATTATATACAACAAGTTTTCATTTTTTATATTTGTACTCATTTTTAAAATGAGTTAAATAGTGCAAGAATTAAATTCGTGGATTTTCTCTCAAAATTATGCCCCAACTGTTCAATCACTTAATTTCATGACTAAACTGGTTAATAGCTTCAATGCACAACGTGTACAGGCACAAAGTACGTGTCTTCCAATTTTCATTTATTTATTCATTTATTTTTTCATTTTTCAAAACAATAAATATATACACAAAATTAGCAGTTGATAGCTCAACGTTACATTTTTATTGTACCATGGATAAGTTTTGGGTATCAAATAACAATCTTATTTTTATATAAAAAGCCGTATACACATAACAAATTCAGTGGATTACGCACATTTTCTGCTGCACTAATCGTGTAAATACAAATTGTTGCTGAATACTGGTCATGATAGAAGAATACAGGAAGATGCATCAAAGTTTGAGAACATTGATATTCAAAACATTAAAAGAAACTTTCTTCAAAAATGAGAAGATTTGTATATGTTTTCTTATGAATTTTTAAACAAAATTTTTAAAACAATTTTAAAGAATTTGAATAATTTTTCATTCAAATGAATGTCATATTGGGTTTGACAGTCCATTGTCCCAGCAGCGGTGTCGATTCGACTACCTGTATTCTTCATCTTTGGCATAGAATATTTTGCTGGAACTCAATATATTTCTATTACAAATAATTTGACAAAAAGTGTTTTAAAATATACGTATACAAATGCGTATAACCAAATAAATTGAATATGCCAAATTTATTGTGGCATGAACATTTCTTTTGTATGAAAGTGAATGCGTGACCAGACATCTATATAAAGATGGCAACACTTACTAAAAGTGCTGCCAATATTTTCAAGTACATGATGCATGTCAAGGCAGTACCGTTATTTATGGTAATCGTGTTCAATTCGGTTCAAAAACACTGTCTCGTACAAATAAATTAAAAGAAAAAAGTATTTAAGGCGTAACTAAATGTGAATTAAATAAAATCGTTGTAATAACTAACAAATTGAAGTGTAATGCGGTGTAGTGCTTAGTCGCGTAATTGAATATAAATTAACTATAAGAACTAACAAATGGAAGTGTAATGCGGTGGTGTGAAATGTGGTGTAACTAATTCGTATCATAGTTTTAACGTTAAAATTCGTATCAAGTTTTAACGTCGATTTCAACGCGATGGTCGGAAAAACAACGGTGTTATTAAGAAATAATTTTAGGAAATGCTGGCCACGGATTTCGGATCTTATTAAGCATGTAAGTAGAATATTGTATTACTTTTATTGAGCTAATAAATGCTTTATCTATGACCTCTATCCAATACGAAATTTAGTATGAGTGTAACAAAAATGATCGCTTGGGTTTTAACGATACCATCCAGATGGATAGAAATAGGAACAAATTCCACATTAAGTTAGTAACTTTTGAAGGGGCTGCAATCTGTCATTTCAGGTTTTTGCAAATCTCAAAAATTGCCACATTTTATGGGTTACTGCCTTCTGAACGCATTTCCCGTTCTTTAATGTCCACTCCATAAATTCCACCCTAATTAGTTGCAATTTGATGATACTGGCTATACAAGTAATCTTGACATCGATCCAAGTTTTATCAAAATTGTATAAGTTGTTGTATTTTTAAGGATCCGTTACCTACCTTTTATCCCTATTTCCACTCCATACATTCCACTCGAATTAGTTGCAATTTGATGACACTGGCTATACACGTAGCCTTGACATGGATCCAAGTTTTATCTAATCTTCATAATTTGGTAGTAATTTTAAGGTAATTTTAATTTTAGCTACCTTTTATTCAGAAACACAACAGTAATAGCTCTCCTTTTGATAAGACACAGTTGGCGGTGGAGAACAAAGCTTACGACGGTGTTAATATGATTTCCAGATTGTCATCTACCAAATCTTCTTAAATACCAAATTTGAAACAATTTCGTAGGCAAATGTGACAAGGATTTTAAAAATACCGAATTTCGGTGGGTATCGTTATATGTGCGCTATAGGGAAACGTGGACTTAAATATTCAATGTTCTGCCACCGGAGCTAGAACTCATTATAAACTACAAATGCCAAATTTTAGACAAACCGGTGGCAAAATGTGGCAAAATCATCGAAATACCGAATTTCGAGAGGTGCCGTTATATGGGGGCTATACAAAAACGTGGGCCTATATATACAATGTTTTGCCACCGGAGCTAGAACCCATTATGAACTGCAAATACCAATTTTAAGACAAATCAGTGGCAAAATGTGGCAAAAATCATCAAAATACCGAATATCGGGAGGTACCCTTATATGGGGGCTATACCAAAACGTGGTAATATATCTGATTCTCATTGTTGAGCCAAATTTTTACTGCTGCTTAAATAACACTTCTTTTATGGTCAAACCTTGCAAAGATTCCATTCCTTTTGAAGGGTCCCAAACCACTGGTCTTCATCGTACCGGTAGTAATTGTATGCAAATATTCATTACTCTCCTCAAACAGGTTTGAAATGAAAGCACATAATACAATTAGTATTATTTTTAAAATGTATTTATTTTCTCATTTAAGATTATTTATTGAATTTTAAATTTCACATAATTTATTGTATTCATGATTACTAAGCTAATGTTCATGTTTTTTTTATTAGTTTACCATTAATTTATTTTGGAATAAATTATTATTGTCACATACTTAGAGTAATTCATATTTACTGCGTAATTAATTTTAATGCTCATCCTTTCGGTTATATTGCATAGAGGTTAAACAAACAGGAGAGAATATTTTATTCATACAGAAAAAAATATTAAAACAAGTCAAAATAAAAAATAATAATTTTAAATATTAAAAAAAATAAAAAATAAAATGGATAGGTATATGGAAGTTATAGAAAAACAATAATAAAAGTTAAGAATATAATAATAATGAACACATTAAAACTTCAATTAAGTTCCAGGGTCAATTGGATGGAAATGAGGCATATTGTACACTAAAGGAGATATGCTAATTAAACAAATAGCGAAAAATAGGTTTGTTAGGATTCCAATATCTTTTAACTGCTGGTCCATTGAAGGTTGCGATAACAGCAAAAGTAACGGAAAAGATGAACACTAACACCCTCCATCAAAGAAAAAAACATTTTCCCACAACGATCAGATCTACGTTCTGAAACGACCCAAGTTCCATTCGGCTAAGATTATCATAGCTGTAAAAACTTTCGATTCCACCCGCACTTTCACAACAACAACATATTCATGAGGAAAATCTTTTCTGATGACGCACTCCCCAAATATAGCACTGTGATTGACTGAGATTTTCTTGCTTTTGGACATCTTTCTGTCAATGTTGAAAAAGCTATCCAATTAGGCGTATCCTGTGATAATAATTTTCGACGTCAATTAATAAATATTTTGAGTGCCGCAACGAACTCCGCAGATTACATACTCTCAACAGAAGATTTAAAATTCATCCATTTACGTGGGTTCTATTTTAGCCTAATCCCGAAGTTTTAGACTCCGAAAAATCTTTAATACGGATATGTCGAGAAGTTGCAAATTTTATAAAACCTATTCTCTGTGATGGGAGACGTTTTGTCAGGTGCGGGTGGACTTAACATTCATTTAAAATTCGGATAACTACATTCTTTGGGTGAGAAGTCAAAATTTCAGGAATGACATGCAATTAGGAGAATGGCGCTGGAATGATTGGTTTTATAATTTAATAAGGCAGGCCAGTTAGTTCACCCATGTTTAAGAAAATCATTGAAATCAGACAGCTGCTTTGGAATGATTATTTTGTTTTAAAATGTTTTTCAAAATTAATATATACCACCGATTTGGAAACTTAATTGAAGTTTAGATATAAAAGGGATCTCTTTAAAATTATATTTATGTATCATCAAATACACATGCTTATAATTATTACAATAAACAGTTTTTTCTTTATAAAAGTAGTTAACAGAAACAATTTGAAAAAAAAAAATAGAAACAAATTGAAAAAAATAATATGTGTATTATATAAAACAATATAGAAATTATAGTTTTCTATAAGCTACTTAATTATTAAAAAAATATGTGTTATTATATATGTAGATCGAGTAGATAGGTAATTAAACTACATCAAGGTGGTTGTTTTAGTTCAATAATAATAATTCATATTCTTAATTAATATTTCTCAAAACTGTTTCGTTACGAAACTATCGCATTTAAAGGCTTATAACATAGGAGTTTTTATTATTTTTTCTTTTTCTAGAGTTAAATTTTCTTAATCATTTTATTATAAGTCATTATTTTCAATTTAAAGTTATGTTATTCATACTTAATTTTTAAAACTTTGGCATGCATTTTATGTCATGTGATTTTGTTTTTAGCTTTCAAGATTTCATAATAATGGATGGAGGAGTTACCTCCATACAAGAGAGAGTCATTAAAGACAAATGCATAGTAGTTATGTCTTTTAATTATATTCTTTGATTGTTTTTTGTTTTTATTTAATATTTACAGAGATTCCTTTAAAAATACTGTACGTTTCAAAACTATGCATTTGTTTATTGCCATTTTTCCCTTGTGAAAAGATAAGCTATTCATTTGTTTTATTTCGAATTGTTATTGGTGGTGTTCAAAAACATTTATAATACCATTCCCAATTACGATGGTTCCATGTTGCTGACCAACTCTCGTGCCAGTTCTATCAAATGGCAGCTTCTTGTTGTAGATTTTCTTTATTTTTTTGCATCATTAGGGCATTGGGCGAACCAATACCAGCTGTTGGATTCGGACTTGGACTATCATTGCTGTCTGGCCGACGCATTTTATTCTTACAATAGAATTGTTTATGGGCCAAATAGGTTTTCATATAATTAAAAGAGATATCACATGTTTGACAATACTTTTGATTATTGATATTCTCTTCGGGTGTGGAATTTAATGGTGGCGGTGGACCAATGGCCGGTGAGCGCAATGCAGGTGTAATACTCATGCTAATTGAGGGCGGTGGTGGTGGTCCCTCACCACCAACAGCAATTTCCATGGGTTCGGTTTTTATGTGATGTGATGCAAAATCATTTCCATGTACCGGATGTTGCCCAATATTGGGTAATGGAGAGTGGTTATTGTCGTGGGGATTCAATAAGATGACGGGTGTTGTATTACCCACCGTGGGGGGAGGAGGATGATCCAAGGGTTCAGATTTGATGGTAAAACTGTAAAAAATATTAAAATATAAAAATTAGTTTTTAATTTCCATTTCATTTATATTGAGACCTTACCTATTAAGCCCATTATCACCATTGTGACTGCCACTCAATGAATTGGTTTCCGAAGCTTCTAAATCACCAGCTTCTGGAGATATGGATGGTGAATTGGTAATAATGTGAGGATGTACCAATTTCATATGGCGCAACTGAAAATAAAAAAATATTTATTAGTTGGAGTTTTAAAGGATAGAATTGATAGGTATAGATTATGCAAATAACTACATAAAATGTTAAAATTGTCAAACAATTTTTCTACTTTGCAAAACAACTTCAAGAAAATTGAATACAAAACTCAAAAAAAAAAAAAAAAAATAAATAAATAAAATAAAATACGACTCAAGAGCAGAGTATGTATATTCGTAATGCAGCTCATCTAAAAGTCCACTTTTATTATTATGGGAACAACAGGTTGTACGAAACTACGGATGGTGGAAGTCCCAATATATAGACGAATGAGTTACAGCCTAAAGTCAACAATTTTACAGGTTTTGGTCCCAACCTTTAAAGCAATATTACTGCATTCAAACGGAGTTTCGTTGTTAATTTTGATCCTCAATGAATTAAGGCTTGGTTTTAAGCACCTTACCATTGCACCATAGTAAACCATGTCATGGCTGACCTCATATCGCCCTTATTTGGATAGTACATTGAATTAAAAGAAAACTAGCTCAGGGTGGGGAGGACGCCTCTCTTTATACGCCTTGACTGACCAACTGGATAGAAGGAACTTCTGTTAAAACAACAAAGTGAGGGATTGGACCTGAACAAGGACTGCATTCCTGAGGTACTAATCGAGGACATACCTTTGACGATAGAGACATGGATACTCGGACTATGAGATGCCCTACTTGTTCATCGAGGATACTACACCGTTTGAAGGAAAAAACTTCGGTGGGGGCTCTCTTGGGAAAGTATGATCTGTTTGAATAGGATGGGTGAGAGAGTGGTACCTTCTCCCCTCTGCCTCAACCCTCAAAAGCAGTATGGTTGAGGTGAAGGATGAGAAAGATTTCAGAAGAGCCGTTCATATTCGTAATAGATTTGCTGGTGGGAGATTGATTCGATAGTAACTAAGGCTTGAGGTCCTTGTGGGGCAGCACCGATGGTGCGAAAAAACATTGTCCGCGAACGAACACGAACAAACCATGGGCCTTATTATTCGGCCAATTGTTTCAATTAAATTAGAAAAAGGTGTACTTAACCGTAATATTGGACAACAGCGCTCAGCAGAGTTCGGAGATTGATGAATGTTCTGGACTTTTTTACAAACATATCAATCGGTCTCAAAATTTCAAATTTGGGGTCCAGTGGCGCAAAAAGGTAAATAAGTAAAAGGAACTTGCAAACATAACTTTTGTAAACCTTCCTCTCTTGGCTTGAATGGCAAAAAATTTTGGTTGAAAAATTAGATCATAATTTCAGCATTTATTCTAATATTGGATCTCATGGTCATCGGTCGCTGGGAATTAAAATGTCTGGTTGGGGTTTTTCGGCAAGTTGAACAGATAAGCTAGTTAGATACCGGGGACGCAATTTTTATGTTCTTGGTATCAAATAGCAGGAAACTTTAACTGAAAGTTTCACCTAGAATCACAATATTTATTCGAACATTATATCACACCATCATTACCTAATTTGTCAGGTGTTTAAAATCGCCCATTAATGTTCTACTTTGCCCGTTAATGTTCTACGCTCAAAAAATATGTGTATGCTGTCAAAAAGTGATTCCACCTCTTCATGTTTGTATCTACTTCACTGGGGTATTTTCAAAACCGTTTAACTTTAGTTCTATGTCGATCCGTCAAAGGATCTGATTTATTTCAACCTTTTTATTGGGTTTGTAAATTTCTCATTTTATGACATTGAAGTGTTTAAATGCAATGTTCAATCTTATTACAAACCTGGCTCAAGTTCAATCCTAATTACTTGTTTGTTGTTGTGGTTTCAATAACATTTTTTAATTACCAGAGTTCACGATCGGTGGGTGTGCCGTTCCGTTTTTTTGTATTATAACAAATTCCATATTTCCAAATCGTATAACATTCTATCAAGTTATGCGATTTCTCATCGACTTATTAACAACAATTGTTCGCAACCAAATAGTTATTGACATTTAACATTTTTGTATTCTAAATCGCTTTGTATTATCGTAATCGAATCTCGATTGAAATACTTACCACATTGCCTTTATATGTGGATGAATAATTACAAATATCACAGTTGAACACCTGCTGGGCCGGTGACTGCGATTGCTGTTGTTGATGTTGTTGTTGCTGCTGCTGTTGTTGAAGGCCAGCCGCCACAGCTGCTGCAGCGGCAACTTGTTGTTGTAAATGTTTCTGCTGTTGTTGATGCTGCTGCACTAAATGCTCTTGATTTAAAGATGCTGCACTGGGTATTTCAATGGATTCATCTTCCAGAATGCAGGCCATAAAGTGTTCCTCATTCAAATCGGTGGATTTCTTGTCGAAATGCATGCGTATATGGGTGCGCATGCCTCTGCAAGGTGGTGAAAAGGAAAAAAATAGTTAATTCATTCAAGTTCTTTATATTTTTGGGGTTTTGGAAACTCACCTCAAAGTGTTGCCCTTGTAACGACAAATGGTACATCGGAAGGCCTTGACAGTGCCATGTGTCTCCATGTGCTTGCGACTTTCACTGGCCGTTAGACTGACCGCATCACACAATGGACATTTGTAGACATTTTGATTGTGACCAGTGACAACTGATGAGGAAGAATTATTGCTACCAGCTGCAGTGGCAACATTTGCGCTTGGTGGTGCTACCGGAGTTTGGGCTGCTGGCTGTTGAACCAATGCCGGTGGTGGGGGACATGGTAAACCAAATTCATGCACAGTTTTACATTTTGTACATTTTTCTTTGGCGGGCAAAACTAATGGCGCTGCATCTGGATTCGCCACAGCAACTGCCGCAGCGGCGGCTGCAGCAGCAGCTGCGACAGCTCCACCACCTTTGGGACAGTAGTAATTTTGGTGAGCCCTCAAATTGTCCAGGGAGGTATATTTAATGCCACAGGCTGCACAGATTAATTGTTGATATGCTACCGGAGTGGTTTCTGCTGGCGATGCAGCCGTAGCCATGGGTGGTGTAGAAGAGATTTTTGTTTCGCCCTCACTGGCCTCTTGATTGCGGGCCGAACAGTAGTGTTGCTTGTGGGCCAAATAGTTTTCATATTTACAAAAGACAATATTGCATTCTTTGCATTTGGAAACGCCTTGTTTGACATAGATTTGAGGCTGATTTGCTGCGGCTGGTGTGGCTGGCTGTGCCGGACCGGAGGCTGCTGCAGTGGGTGGCAGAACGGGCAGGCCCAATAAAGCACCACGACCCGAGGCAGCGGCTGCAACAGCAGCGGCGGCCAATTCGGCAGGTGTGGTACCCGGTTGAGCAGCTGCACTATTTGATGAGCTGACCGCAGCAGCTGCTGCCGCCGCTGAAAGTTTGAGGGCAAGTTCCAAATTTTTATTTGCCAACAAGGGATTCAATAATTCAGCCGGTAACATTGATCTCAAATGAAGGTTATCGAAAATATTTGTGGGATTTGATGCTGATGCGGCTGTGGGTGGAATTGTGGCTGGTGGTGACATGGAGGAAGTACTGCCGGCCCCTGAACTTCTTGGACTTATGGCTCTACGCCGGGGTGAGGGACTCATCGATGGGCTGTTAGGCAATGAGGGTGCACACACAATTTGTTCTGGCGTAATACTACCCGTATCGTCGAGGACCAAGTTTTCTTTGCCCGCTTCCAGCAGGGTTTCCATGTCCAAACGATTTGGATGATGTTCGCTGTTGGCTGATTCAAGAAATGAAGCTGCTGCGGCGGCTGTTAGGCGTTGTTGTCTTTGCAGCAAAGCGGCAATGGGTGAACGTCTTAGGGATAGATCCAAGGGAGCAGAATCTCTGCAAGCAATGTAAAAAAATAAGGATTTCAAATTTGCACAATTGGATGTTGGAAATTTTAAATTGGCTTACCTCAAACCCTCGCCTTTACGTTTGGGTGTATTCTCGGCTGGTTCTTCGATATTTCGGCGTACATTCTTCTCCGTTAATAGGCTTTCATTTGATGACGAAGATGTTTGGCGTGTGGAATCAACCATATACTGTTGTTGCTGTTGTACAGAGGAGGCGGCGGCTGCGGCCCCTACTAAATTATTGGCTGCACTCAAAGCATTGATATTCAAGGCGGTGGCCAAGGGTTTCAATTGTCCACCATCCAAGGTGAAACAAGTGGTGTCTGGATTTACAACTGACGGTGAGGGTGATTGTCTGAAATCGGAAACTTTATGTTAAAAAATATTAAACAATTTGTTTTTTGATTTACTCACAGTGGTCCCGCAATGAGACTGGCAGACCGTATCAACGAATATGGTATAATTAAAATGGGATTTGTGGGCAAGGCCAGAAATGGGGTGCTTGGAGGCTGTTGTAATGCTGCCGCAGCAGCTGCAGCGGCCGCTGCCGCCACCATAGCCGGAGTGGGTGTTTTAGTTCTAGTCTGTGGACTTATGGCACCCGAATGCACTGAATTGGCCTTGGGTGTGGTAGATGTTGTGGTGGAAACCTCCAGTTTTGGTGTCAGCTGGCCTTCCGTGCGCCTTGAGCTGCAATAATGCTGTTTGTGGGCCCTATAGGTCTTGACATTATTGAAACGTATATCACAGTCACTACAATAGCGATCGATTTGCTGGAATAAATGATAGAAGGAGGAGAAATATAATTAAATATTTTATTATCACCCGTTTCAGAGTTTTGAAACCAACAACAACTCACTTGACTAGTATTGTCTTCCAGAAGGGCAGCAGCTGATCCCCCCACCGCACCACCATTATTTGAATTCGAGCTGGGTGCCGGTGATGTCTGATGCATACGCATATGACGGTTGAGTGAGACCTTCTTGTCGGCACTGTAGGAACATTGAGTGCAAGCATATTGTTTGCCAGTCTTTGGAGCCTTGGCGGCCGGTTCAGGGCCACCCGCCACAGCCGGGGTAGCATTTGCAACATTGGCCTGAGTGGCTGGTGAGGTGGATGTCTTGTCGGCCAGCGCAGATGCTGATGGCACAGAGTCTTCATCATTATCCTTATGCCGATGTGAACAGTAGTAGGACTGATGGGCCTCCAGAGTAGAGGGTGAGCTGAATCCAATGCCACAGGGTACACACATAAACACTTTCATGCGTGGTGGTGCCACCTCGACAGGTGGTGTGGGTTGGGCTTTTATCAAGGGCTCCACAACGGTGGGTATGGTACCGGGGGCCACCAAGTGCGATGCTGGAGAGTCAATTTCCCTTTCGTGCTGTTGTTGCTGCTGCATACGTTGTTGTTTCCTTTGCTGAGCCTGCGACTCATGAACCACTTTCAAATCTTTGGCATCTGGCATCAAAGCTGGATCAGATGCCAGCAATGCATTCAACCTTAGTTTGGGCATAGCCTGCGATTGAGGTGATGATGCCGTTACATGGGATTCAGTACAATTATCTTCGGACTTTGCCGGACTGGAAGTTGATGTGTTATGGGAGCTGCTGTCAGGAGTGCATGATTTGCGATCCTTAGAATTGGTATCATCATCATGATCATTGACATCGTGTGTGGATTTCGATTCGATATTCGAAATTTTCTGCATATGGTTTGGCGAGGAAGCTGGGCTGGATCGCTGCTCAACTTCCTCTGAGTCCATTTTCTGTCTTTTATGCATTGGTGGTTCACTGTCCATATCTCCGTTATCACTGTCGTGATCTATTCTCCGTCTTGAAGTTTCTTCATCATTCAAGTCATTATCATCAGTCTCTTTTGTTAAGCGATTGGGTGGCGTGGTGCGACATTCATCCGACATATTGGTGCGTTGCTGTTGCTCCGGTTGTCGATTATGATGATCGTCTATGTCCATTATATTGTTTGTATTGTATTCTTTGGAATCTGAAAGTAAGAGATGGAGTTTTTTTTTTAGAAAATTTATTTTTTAAAGAAATAATGTGTTAATATTAAATCTCAAAAAAGGGACATATTTTTATGGGGAATGGATTTTAGGGACAAAAAAATCATTCCAACTAAAAATCCCATCTGTTATGGTTACTTGTTCCCTGTTTCACAGGGGTAAATAATTCAAAACTATGGATAAAAATGCCTCTTAGTGGCATAAGAGTGTTTCGGAATTGGATGCATTATCACCCTGTTAGAAACGATATTCTTCGGTTAAAAAGTATAGATCCCCATCCCTAGGCGAAGATGAAGAGATTTCTGAATTGTTGGCCAAAATGTTGACTAACCGAGGACTAATTTCACCTCATTGTTGCCGAGCAATGATTAGCTCTTTCGCCGCTTTTCTATTCTCAATAAGGCTAGTTTTACTTTGATCACAATCCTGCAGTGATCAAATAATGATGCAGCATTTGATGCCTGTGCCTTCCCCTTCTCCACAAATGTCGGTCTTATTAGTGGGTTGCGTGTAAGCTTTCACATTACTGCATTCTGTTTGGAGATTAAACCCCAATTGGTTGAAAATGTGATTGAGTACATTCGGCTTTATCTACTTCGACAGGACTGCCATCATACCCTTTGTCGGTTTTATTGGCATACTCGTGTCGATGTATCAGACTTCACTTCAGTTTCGAGTTCCTCGAAGCCAATGAGTATTACATCCTTGTGCTATATGAGAGCTTGATCGATTCGTATCATTTACTTTCCGAATCTCGTGAGAGCTTCGGCTAACAAATTTGCTGCAGTAACAGTCACAAAAATTCCATTCCTGACTTTGCTGTGGACATCAAGAATTCCTTGCTTTACTAGCAACACCCTAGCCTAATCAGAAGGTTCTAGCCCTCGGCAGACTAATTTCTTCTTGGTTTCCTCTTAAACTTTAATATTTCTACGTGATAAACGTGGAGCGTTCCAAAAGCCATTGGATATATCCTTCTGGCTTTATTAAAGGGTCACATTTTATTCTAGGATGTAGAAATAATTTCCATTTCTCATTTTATTTTTACTAATCCAAGGTCAATGTCCTACGATTCCCATAAAGGTGTTGGAAGTTGGCTATTTCGGATTGTGATCCCTGTACCGATATTTAAGGATTCAGGATCGCATTTATTACGATATCGAAAAAATTCCCAATTCAAGTTTCGTGTCTACTCATCTAGGATCAAGGCCCGACGATTACTAAAAAGGTGTTAAAACTTGGCTTTTCTGACTCGTGTCCCATGTCCCGAATCTTGTAGAAAGGCCTAACATCATAACTATGTGATAGGAGCCACTGTTATCGAACTTCCAGCTTTTGGAAGACGGAAAACTTATTTCCCAACTCTTCAATGTAGGTCTAAACTCGTCTACGTCGGATGGCATTACCATGGTGTACAATTTGATAGAGAAATATCTTACCAGTGGCCGTCGAAGACGCTTCTTCTTGGTTCCGCGCAGTCCAAATATGGCAGAATTTCCCATAAGTATCAGTTAAGTTTCCTTAGACCTAACTTGTTGACCATAGAAACCCATCTCAACCATTCAATATTCCAATCCACCCAAAGTCGTCAGATCCAATTCTGTTAAAACTTTATCGTTTTTGTTGCTGGGTTGCTTTCGTTTCAAAATCACTATTGTAACACCCTGTATCACGTAGACGAGTGATACAGGGCTATAATGAAACAATACTGATGCTGGAAACAAATCTCTTGACTGGCTTATCTCTTTTAAAATCTCTGTACTCTTCAATCCGAAAAAATTCTTAAGAATTCAAACCCATATCAGAGATATAACGAACACACACACACATACAAGAAACTTACTTCAGCAACGAACCGACGACGACAACGGCAACAATAATAAAAAACATCTAAACCGGACATTTTCCAATGAAATTCTCACCAGAGAGTTATAAACTATGGCAATCGTCGTCGGATGGTTGGCTGCTTGGTTGGCTGGCCTTCCCCTGCGGTCGGATGGATATTCAATTGGTGAATATGTGTCAAATTGACCAAAAGGTTAACAATTATTATCGAACAAATTGTCAGGCCATCCTGTGGCAGAGAGACAGACGGACAGACAAACAAACTCACGTTTGTGATGATGACAAGAAGAGAAAAAGGAAAGAAAAATAAATCGCAAAAATACGAAACGGCAACGCACTACCAAAAAAGAACAACGCTTTTTGTGGCAGTCAAATCGAACCAAAATAAAACGTATCCAATACAAGGCTTTTTGCTGCATTTCGAAAAAAAATAGTGATCTGAGCTTTTTGTTCTTTGACCATCACCACCACCATAATAAGTATGAATGTGAATGGTGGTTACATACCGACCAACAATGACTTTCAGACAAACAGACAGCAAAACATGGTTGCCCGAAAGTCTTTGCAACAAAACGTTTAACGACAATGACTTGAATCCCATGAATGGGGAGACGGACGGACAGCGAGAATTTCTGCCAAAGCGTCGCTTTGTCTGCCACAACACATATATCGTTCGTTGTGCACCACACTGACTAGCCAGCCGGCAACATTCGTCGCTTCTTAAACGGCTACCATGGGTTCTTCTTTTTTTTTCTCGCTTACTTTGGGTTATTCATAGTTAAGCATTACAATTCGTTCACATGTTTCGTTTGATTATGAAGTTTTGGAGTTTTTGTTGTTATTGTTGCTGAGCTTCTTTCAAGCGTGTGTTGAGAATAGAAGCTAAGATTTTTGTATTTTGCTTGTTATCCACATATTCAATCTTTACTTGGTGATATTCGGCTTAGTAAGTGGTGCTGGATCTTACAACAAACACAATTTAGGAAACCATGATGAAGAAACAGAATTGTGGATATGTTCGTTTTATTTTTTGTGGCCTTGGACAATTTCTAAGAGAAGTGTTAATCTATTGTTGAAATCTCTTCGTTTGTGATATTATCGCGTTTCATTTTTTTCTTTAATTTTGGATTTTTTTTCTGTTGAAGTTGTAATTGCTTGGAGAGATGAGAGAACTTAACATCGTTATGAAACTCAAAGGAAGTTATACACTCAATATTCACTTTGCTTATCATTATACAGTGCCGGACCAATATTATGAATGAATCTCCCTGAGCACCAATTCATTATATTTATCTGGAGCGGAAGGATTTAAAAGGAAAACAAGTAAATAAGTAGCTTAGTTCAGCCGGGTCGAACTTTTTTTAACTTTTATTAGAAGAAACTTGAAAAACTTCCAAAAAATTCCGTCGGAAAATACCACTCAAACGAAAACCGTTATATGGGGGCTATACGAAGACCTGGTCCTGTATAAGTAATTTGTGTAATAGGCTGTAGTAACTGTTCCCAACGTTGTATACGAAATTTGAAACAATTCCAGTGAATAACGTCGCAAAAAATCATCAAACTATCGATTATCGGGAGGAACCGTTATATAGGGGATATATGATATCGTGGACCTATATAGAGAATTCTCCTCCAGGGGGTAATGTACTCACAAGGAACTCCTTTTGCGGATCGTCCAAATACCAAATATTGGGGGTATATTTATATGGGTGCTATACGATATCGTGGACCGATATACAGGGTGAGATAAAAAAAATGCAACAAAGTTAAACACAAAAAATTTTTAAAATTTTTCTTTAAATTTTATTGAACGAAAGCAAAAAATGTCGGAAATAATATCAAATTTTAGAATAAGTTTAGATTTGTTCGAATTGGCACGAATTATGGCCTTCCAACGGCCAATGAAACCGCCAATTCCCGGCGAAGCGCTTGCTTAAGGTTATCGACACTTTGGTATTTTTAGTGCCAACATTGCTTTCTAAAATACTCCAGATACAATAGTCCAACGGATTGGTATCCGGAGATTTTGGTGGCCATTTTGCGCTGAAGCGAGGAACCTCATTTTGTAACCATTCTTGGGTGGCGCGTGCTGAGTGCGACGGTGCTGAGTCATGTTGGAATGTCTAAGGTCTGCGGCCAAAATGTTTGCGTGCCCAAGGCCAGAATCCAGAATAATTTTCGGCATTTATTCTGATGTCACGGTCGATTAGTACGAGCGGAGAGCGGCCATCGGCTGTTATGGCGGTCCATACACTCACCATGGCCGGCGCTTGAGTTCTGGTGGCCAACCAAAGGTGCACATTTTCAGCTGACCTCTTTGGAAAGTAAACACGATCATTTTGTTTGTTTACAAACTGCTGGACAACGATTGTTTTCTCATCGGAGAAAATCAATTCAGGCAGTTAACCACTTTCGGCCAAGCGAAGCAACTCTTTACCTCTTTTTTTGCTGTTGCTTTACCCCGACCTCATTTTTCAATATTTGACGAATGAAATATTGCGATATGTTCAGCTCACGAGCCATTTTTCGGCCACTGACACGAGGGTTTCGATCAAGTTGCTTCTTTATTTTTCCAACCATTTCTGCTGATGTTGCTGCTTTCTTCCGTCCACTTCCTTGGCGTCGGGCTGCGCTATCAGTATCACGGCAACGAGCGATGGCACGAGACACAAAAGATTTATTCACATTTAAATGCTGGAGTTCTCTAATGATAGCCACTTGTGGTTTTCCAGCCAAATATAAAGAAATCGCACTACCACGTTTGAATTCCAATGCGAATAACTTTTTCTGGAAAATTCTCACGAGAATGCTTTTGTACGCTTTTAAACAATATTATGAGCTGTCACTGAAATAAATATAACAGCTGTCGAATGAGTGGCTTGGAATTGACAGCAGTCTGAAGTTGGTTGCAGTTTTTTCATTTCACCCTGTAAGTAGGTTGTCCGTGATAACACTGATCCTATAAATATTATATACGCATTATTCTTGGACCAAAAACGAGTGGTCTGAACTATCCTACTGGTACAATAAGTTATCCATGCTGAAATAAATAGGTTATCCATGTTTTCCTGATGATAAACGTAGGTTGCCGACATAATCTGTAAATAGGTTTTGCTTGTTATCCCTGTACCAT